TTTGTTGATCACCGTAGTTTGCCGACTTTTGTTTGGTATCCCATGGCGGTTTTCATCTCGTTCTTTGTTATCCTGAACATCATACATGTAGTTAGAACTTTTACAATAACACTCTTTCTCGGAGATCAGAGCAGATTTGGATTGGAAATGACTTTGTGGTTTCGAAAGAAGCACATAGCCATGCAAAAACTAGAATATGTTGCACATTATAATCGAAGGTATGCTGAATTTTAGAGAATTATCTTGTCTTGAGTAGATTTTTCCAGGCAGATCTCAAACATCTAACGCACTTAATATGAAACAAATATAAAGGTATGGATCGTAAAATCCCAGGAGTTCAATAGGTTAAAAGTAATAATATATATTTTATAAGAGGGTAGTAGACTTTGCGTGTATGTAGCCGTAGAATTTCGCCGCTCAAACACCATTTCGCCGGACGTGAAGCTTAACTCATCCGGTTCTTAAGCTCATTGATGCGATCGACTTTAGAGAAGCTGTAATGGACACCACCTTGCGAAAGTACTTCCCGCGAAATGTCCGCGCATGACGCATTTTGTCCGGCTGTTCTCTGCCGTGATTGGTTCGTTTTTTGAAGAGCTATTGACCGCTATGTACATCGTCGGGGCCGGAACAATAAAGTGGGAAGACAGACTGAGTCTTAGTTAGATTGTTGCGCTTTTAAAGACGGTGGAGTGTTTTTTATGAGGCTGGCGGTTTGTAAGCTTTCTTCCTTTATTCGCTTTTATTACTAAATTCCTACACTTAATGCCGCATCTAGTTTCCAATCAAGGCGCCTGGATGGTTCATTCTAAGTGGATTTCTGTTGTAAATTCCTAACGGTAGGTCTTGGCTTAAATTATCAAAAAATGATTGTTTCTTTTGGTGTTGCCTATTGCGTGTCTTACTCGACGTTTATAATTGGGCTATATAATGTTATCCAACTATATCATTAATAGCCTTAGAATTCTCAGCTTATTAAGAAATCAGCTTACACAAAGAGCTTATGTACTCAATGATGAATGGTTGAGAAAATCTGGATATTGTAAATTAAGTGCTTGCATAGTCAGAAGTAAAACTGTTTTGAATCAAAGAAAAAGACCCTATCCGAAAAAACCGAAACCAGAGAGCGGATTAGAGTTACTTAATTACTCAAATACGGAAACCTCGCCGAGTGCATGACAAGGCTTTTTAACTATTTATGGCGATTTTAATGGTGGATTTTCCTTATCTAGCTTTATCAAGTAAGATTTACATTATGGTATAGATGTATATCGTAGATATACAATGTTGCAGGACTTAATTTAATCACATGCGTGGATGGGCATGGAAAGAAATCCAGAGTGCATCCTACGCAACGGGTTAAAGAAATCAGGTTATTACTTCCGACAGCAAGGGGTTAAAACCAAATAGATCTTTGTGTTGAAAGTACAAATGTCAAAACAGGAGAAATTTTTTTTTGTTGTTTATAATGTATCTGAGATTTGGCCGCAGGATTTGACCTCCAGACATGACTCATAGGACATTTATGGTAATAACCACCTTTAAAGGAGATTTATTTTCTTGTAAAACCATCTAAAAGGATCATCTCCTAAACCACAAAATAGTATTTCGTTCGTTTCCAAAATGGCATTTTAGAGGTTAGCGTCTTAGAAGAAAATTTTATCCGACAATGAGAAAAAGCGGATCAGTTTACTACCATCATGTTTGATTGCACTCGGGTGTTGGCGAGATTTGGCTGATCTCACCGAGCGAGTGGCTTCGAATCGACCGTCCAGAGCAGTTAACTGATACTCACCGTCGTGAAACCGCTATTTCAGGTCAGGATTTCATTCTTTTTCCTAAAGCTAGCTCGTATCAATCTAACCCAGAGCATTTGGACGAATTTCATTATTTTAACTGCAAGACAGAGTTCGCGTAGTGTAAGAGGAGTAGATCCCATACATTTGCTCTCGATCTCTGCGCGCATTGTAAGAAGCAACAACGAAGAATTTTTGATACGTGTACAGCAACGAACAATAACTTCCTCTGCGACCACGAAAGGCAACGCCTTGGGTAAGTTACGGATATCTGATCGTCTCTTTGGTGATGAGGTTCCTTGACATAAAAAAGACCGAGAAGTGAAAGATACTCCTGTTTTTAGGAGCGCCATTTTTGTCGGTTCTGTTGCAACACACGGATACATTTTCTTTGTCTGAATTAAAAATTGGGGTGTCGCTCAATACTTCTTTATGCAAGGGTAAAAAAATAACGTTACGCTTTGTCATAAAAAACCGGAAAAAAAGAGGCTAATAATATGGTAGGAAATAAAACAAACAAGACTGACTTTTTTCCTCGTGGTATTTAGCAGTATACCTAACTTTCGTTTATCAGATGATTTTTCGTCGTCTGAGTCTTAGTATCGTTATCACAGACATGCAAACACTATGAAGTCAACATCTTCTCCTTAACCCGTGACAAGAATCGAATTTCCTCCAAGTTATCAATATACTTTCAGGCATGCGCTTAATGCGATTACTGTTGAGGATCTACAGAGGGCATAAAAATTAAATTCTTCCAACTTGTTCTATGAGGAAGCACTTGATAAATGCTGAGAATTTGAATTTTGATATTTAAACTCTAAATGAATAACTGAGTAAGGTGGCAAATATAAATTGTTGCCCACTGATGTGAAGAAAGTACTAAATTTCTGGAGGAAGAGTAGAAAAAAACTTCAGATTAAACTTATTACCAGAGCAACCTTAGGATTTGAAAACACGCGAATTCGCCCGCATGAGGTACTTTGTTTAGAGAGTTTGAAATGTCGTCGTAGCCTATGAAACTACGACAATTTGCTTCAATTAAATCATCTTTCGGCCCCAAATCTTTATTTTGGAGTTACGCATCTTGAAAAACGCGATTTGTAAGGGTTTCTAAGAATTATGACCTTTGTCAAATCGGCTTTTTTGCTATTACGGAGTCGTAGAATCTGCGGTTGTTTTGCAAATAAATTTTCGGCGCTTTGCCGCGTTCAAGTAAACGCGAACCGCCTTAATCAATTTAAATTCTTGAAATGTTTCGTTTTGTTTAAATGAATCCGAAAATCGCCTTCACTGCGCATTAGTTGTCAAAACACGTGTTAAATTCAACATTGGTTATAAAGACAGACAGGATTTTAAAGCGATGAGCTCCTATACATCTACAGACGCAATTGAGAGGTCTACGAACGCAAATCCGCTGACAGTTAGACCGCAAAGATCTTCGCATGTGGGACGAAGACATCTCAACTGGGCAATATCTGCACGAATGCACCATTTTTCTCCAAATTGACTGCGAAATTATTTACTACACTTTCATGTAGAGTAAGATGCAGCGGTGTATTTATGTATTGTCGTGATTTGAAAGAAATTGATACTGGAAAATGATTTCCGGTTTCGTTTGACGAAAGGAATGGTTTTACGACAACTAAAGGATTAAATGCATTAGAAAACTGTCTACGATGTAAAATAATCGGGTCACATCGGAAACGACAAACGAGAAACATGTTGTATGAATTTATATCCACGTAAACGGTATTAACATCGCTCCACCAATTTTGCTCTAAGTTGAAAAAAAAAATCTGTTTATATGCGCATTTCACTCATTGTAAATAAATTTTCAATCGATTTCAGCTGTAGCTAATTTGGAATTGAGATATTTCAAAACTTTTTATACGAGGGCTCAGTTCTCAGTGACCTTAGCAGTTTTCGCATTGCGGGTATGTATCGTTGATATAAATTTAGCAGCTTGTAGTTTAGAATTCATGGATTGCATTCATACGATATTTTAAGCGCTAGGAAAAACCCTGTGGAATGGTCATTTACAAACTATAAATAACATTTTTAAAACGCAAGGCAAGAACTAAAGAGATTTGAAAAAAATGGATGGTAAAGCTTGTTTTAAAAGCCGATTTTAGTGAGCCACGGTTTAATTTGAGAGAAGAAATTAACGGAACGCCATGATACAAACACTTTTGGCGATTGTAGGAATATGAACTTGATGATGTTATTAGTAGATTCTCAAGTTGTTATCGATTCAGAATTTTGTAAGTGATGCCGAAGCTTTACGATGTGACCAGTACTGATATCTTTTTTATCAGACTTGGGAGCTGATGTGACTTCTAGACCGTGCGATATTTGTCGTATCTTCGTAGAGCACCAGTTACTGGTGCTTATCGAGAAGTTTGATATAAATATTGAGTTTTGTTTGCGGTCAATAGCAAACGGAAGAGATAAAAAAGTTTCTGCTGCTTGCGCGACTGTTGTGACGATAACGGTGTTTTATATGGCATTTGTACTCTCAATTGCTTTGAATCCAAATTTTTTGACTCGTTTTGGTTGTTATTATGTTGCGAAGATTATTCAGTAGCAGCTATGACAATCTTTTCAGCGCTTTGAACTACATCGGGCCGCTCAAATCAGCTTCATTGTTATTACGAGTGTTGTGATCATCTCAAAACTATCTCGTACCCTAGACATTTTTAGGTAGCTCTGTGTGTAAACAAAGCTACTGTACGCCTGTAATCATAATATAAATTTGTATCGAGTCCTCGGCTGTTTTCCTTTCATGAACTCATTCATTTGAGTTTTATAGGCCGCTACACACGGCCAAGCGCTAAATTGAAACCGTCTTGTGACAATTCGTAATGATTTCCGTGACATAAACGAGAATTCGCTTGTTGTAACTCAACCACAGTATTAACAAACAACCCACCTTGTAGTCTAAACGAAATCAATTTGCAGGCTGTTCCAAACACGCAAATTTTAAGTTTAAAATAATAAAATACAGATTTGTTATGAAGAACTTCTTCATTCTCACCAGGTGATTTGTGTCATCACACATAACGTCGCTATCGACGAGCTGGCTCGTAATTGGTCAATCCTCTTGTCACCGTGGGCGTTCCTTGAGGTCCTGTCTAACAAAACACTCCAGTGAAAGTCCCCGCAAACCGAGGGCACAACTTCAAATCTCCGAAATCTTGAACCATGAAGAGGATATCTTGCAGTGTATTCATCATTCTTCTAATTCAGCAAATTTGTGCAACGACACACAAGAAATATGCAAAAGGTGAGTGGAAATTGTTGCGTTTTAACGTTGCTAAGCGTGAGTCGAAACTCTTAGTTCTTAGTGTGTTTATAATAATTACCCTGGGTTTTTCTCCGATACAGGTCGCACGCTGTTACCTAGAGGTATCTCCAGCAACAATGGTCGCATTGAGTTTGAGATGACAATCGTAGAGCGAGTGAATCGCCTGGGAAAACGCCATTCACCTCACAAACATTTTGTAAGATACGAATACAACGGATGGGGGATGGCCACAGTTTATTACAGACTTGCCGCGTTTGGTCAAATTTTTCGATTCCGATTGGAGCGCGACGCGAGCTTTTTATCGCCTGCACTTAATGTAGAGCATATTTACGGAGATTTTAGGAGACTTCCATTCTCTGGGAATTTGCAGCACTGTTTTTATCGTGGGGAAATTCAGGGAGAGCCAAATTCTACTGCTGTGTTTAATTTGTGCAACGGACTTGTAAGTACATTTGTCCTGTTTACATATGTTGTTATAATTGATGTTTTAATTCGTGCTTTGATTTCCAAAGATTTGTTTTATACAACCGCGCAGCGCTGTGAATGTACTATAACACTCAGGCGGTGTTCTTGTTCCTTACCGCTCACCGCTCCGTAATTTTAATTCGATTTAGAACAATTCCATGTGATTCTCATTCATGTGATGAAAACATTTGGAAAAATTATCATTTTGTGACCGATGGCGGTATACTCTTTTATTTATGTACTCAATTAACGAGGCCTGTCCGACCGACTTTCAGCCAGGGACATGTAAATTGACAAGTTTATAAACACTCTGAGTTGAAAACTCTTTAAACTGGTTAGTCCTGTGAAGAGGGTTTTGTGTTAAATGAACGGAATCTAATCTAGAGTTTATTTCACACGGGATAATTTTGAAAAACATTTTTTCAAGGGCTCGGGTTAGTTGTGGTTGCCATTTCAGATTTTTGGGTTTACAGTTCTACCGGAAGTGGTTTCATGCGGTAATGACCCCCTGGAAATCAATACTAACAATTTTTCGCAACTCGCGCGTTCCCGTCTTGGCGGCGACACCTTGTGCAACTTCAAATATACATATGAAAAAAAAAATTACATTGTTCTTATAATACTAAAACCGCTGGTACATGGGTATTTAATTAGCCAAAAGAATGTCGAGTAACCACTTCCTCCGTTAAGCATATTAATCATGAAAAACAAACAACTTTGGCTTCATGAGAATTGCATATGTAAAATCCCCCTGAAACGCGCGTAGATTTTATTTCCTTTTTTATTTTTGTTTTGGATAGTAATAGTTTTAATTTAAATTCTGATCATAAGGTGTCCAGTTTCTCTCCTTCTACAGCATGGTTCGTTCGTCTCAAGTGGCCAACGCTATTTAATCGAACCTGCTGAAGAACGGAACACAAAGATACACGCGCATCTCAGGAAATTCCATATCGTATTTCGTCATTCTGCTCTTGAAGACGATGTTAGCAATGCTCCGTCGACATGTGGACTTGTGGGTAAGTTTCATTTACATTACACACGGTCCGTCTGTGCGTACAATACGGTTAAAAAGAAGTCAACTTAACCCACAATTATGCACGTTTTCCGCAATACAGGAAATTTATCTTGCTTCAAAGTACCACTATTCTATATCTACCTTGACATGAGTTATGACAAAAAGTGCATTTTACGTCACATCATGTCGTGTGCCAAATCAGATAGGACACTGTGAGATCGACTTCAGTTAATACAAATAAATACGCCTTTCAACCTTGCTGGATTGCTAGCGAATCAGACGTTTCCGATTTGTTTTTTTTGCGCCTGAAGAGTGTGTACTGTAACTCTTGGCTTGTATCTGTTTTACTATAAGTGCGCAAATCTGCAAAAGAGGAAAATTTAGCTCTAATTTTTAGGAAGTTTCTTTGCGCAATTAACTGTAGCTTAATACCAGTCGACTTAATGTCTCTTTTTGCCGTGTGCGTGATAGCGCGGGAACGCTACAGAGGTTGAGGCACACTTGACATGGATAGGTTGTCGCGGTCGACACTGAAACAAGGTTGTCTTAGAAATCTCTGACGTGAAACTTGACAGTGTACCCGTGAGTCAACCGACAACGACACGATACGATCAACAAACTAACATATTAAAGTTTACTTTTCGTTTTAGCTGTCTGGAAACCATATCTTTTGGATTTCATCTGTCAGTGCCTTTTCTTTCTTAAAGAGGGCGTTCTACTGATATAATATAGCAAAAATGCAGTTGTTTTACGTCAGAAACAGCCTGCAAATTGGATCAAGAAATTCCTCTCAATTCTTTTCAGCAAGTTGTTTTATTGCCATTTGTTATAGAAAGCAGAGACGAATTTAAGCTCTGTGCGATAGCAAAATGTCACCTCTCTTAGGTCATTCCCTAATGACGGAGGGTTACGAATTTTTCAGATTTTCCGAATACCATCTAGTTCCATAAACACGTTTTTCGGTGTTCCTACTCACCCGGTGACTCCTGCTATTAGTGAACTCTTTACAAGCCTTACAGTCTGCTTATTGAACGCGGTTGATAAACATAAAGAATACGCTCAAAACCTGATGTAGTTGAATTAATATTTCTCTGTCAAAACTAAAGAATTTTGCGAATTTGCAAATTGTTTTACAGATGGCTTTTTGTCATAAACACAGCATGAAGTGTAAAGAAATTGACGTACACTCCGATGCTCAATCAGACTCACCGAAAAAATGAGGTCACGTCCAACTTAAAAATATTAACAAGAATCATGCGTGGCCATCTTTATTTTGTGCAATAGTGTTACGATCTTCGTGTTCACGGGGAGCATTCCATGCTACGTTTAAACAGGATTAACCTGCGATAACGAACAGTCGAAACGTAACTCCTTGTAATTAATGCTTTGGTGATCGATTTTAAATGACGATGGTCAGACGCTTAATTGCAAATCATATCCTCTTGTCACGCATTGCCCTTCGCTTGTCACGCAACGCTTTGATCACTTTGATCCAGTAGCAAACAGCTAAGGAACGCCTTTTCCATCAATTATTTTAGCACTGCGGCCGGCCTTTGGTTTCTTAAGTGAATTTGAGGAATTTTCATTCAGGTGGAAGGCTTCTGATGAAAATTTCTGCCGCAGTTCTTCATAGTTTTGCACACAGTTGGCTTCTTACAAATTGTTATGTTCTCTCTTATGCCCTTGTAGTTCTGTGTCTCGTTTGCGCACCACGCACGTTTTTATGGCACTCCTTTGCGCACCCTGTAATGTATCGCCCCTAGATGCGCGCTGTTTTGTTAACTTCTGTGCGCACGCTGTTATGTGCGCTCGATGTTGTGTTAACTTCTGTGCGCCCTTGTACACCCGCTGTTATGCGCTCCAGTGAACCCGCTGTTATGTGCTCCCCTGTGCGCGCGCTGTTATGTACGCTCCCAAGTGCGCGCTGTTACTTTCACTCCTGCGAAGTACTATTTTTTACAGTTATGAAATAATTTAAATGATGTTTATTTGTTTCTTAAAGTTCGCCATAGTTTTTTAGCTGGTAAACGAACTCTATATCTATAATCATATGATTGCAGACAGAATTGCTTTCCACTTGGTCTCAGAACCATTATTGATCGTTGATGTACATGATATGCATGAGGGTCTCAGATTCTTCACAAGGTAGTGATCTCGTAAGGTTCATAAGGATGCTAATAGCAACTCTGTAAATAGCGGTGGTGAACTCACTCTAATCCTAATCGTGAATATTAACCTTCTTGCTCTCGTGTATGAGGTAAACTGTCTTTCCTACCCTTTAATGGTGGTGTAAATCAGGTAAAGTTGTGCAAAAGGAGATGCGGTTTTTTTAAATCTTAAGCCTCACTTGAATTTTCTTACGAGGGCTTCAGCTTCGAGCCTTTTCATCGCTCACTGCATTTGAAGTAATTACCTCCTACAAGATTACTTTAAATACCGGAGGCAAAATGATTGAACTAAATTTTCCATAACACGACACTGCTTTTGACTCTGATTTTAGATACCAACAAACCTCTCCCGCATTTACGTGGGCAGCCGCAACGACCCATCAATGAAAGCTCTACGAGAAGAAGACGTAAAAGAAGCCTCGGTGAGAGCTTCGTTGAAACGTTAGTGGTTGCTGATAAAACTATGGTTGACGCTTTTGATAGCAAAGCCGATTTGGAAAGCTATATCATTACTCTGATGGGTGTGGTAAGTAACATATTATCGTAATCAGTTATCAGTTATTTCTTTTCGTTTAACCTTCTTAAAGTACGTTCAAACGTATATTAAGCAATGGCGAACCAACCCTCCCCCCCAACCCAATAACAGTCAACTGGCGACAAAGTTTGGTTAAAGTTGGATTAGGGGGGCACAGGTGCGCGGTTGCTATAATACTGAAATTGATTTGTATTTTTTTAAAATTGTGAAAAGCTACTCTCTAGAGCGTTCACGACTTTCGTTTTTAGTTTATATAGTGATGGATATTTCGGTTTGTATCCTTCTGTGGACAGCGCAAACGTATACGTTCATTACGGAATTATATCGTCACAACTCTTTTTTTTCGATGATCGCCCAATTGGTGCAGGAAAAAAAGGAAATTGCATTTATCGTTTTAGAGAGAAAGTAAAACGAAGAGATTAGCGAAGATGGAGGCATCACGCAAAATCTTCGCGTTGCACATACAACTGTACGTTAAATTTGAAATTCGCCGTTTGGCAGGCGCTTGAGGCTAGGCAAACGATTGCGAAATTTGATTAAGTACAGAAGAATGTCCGGTGCGGTGTTATAAATCGATAAAAGATCCTGATTAAACGGATCTACCTAGAAATAATTTTAAGTACGTGAAACGCATCTGTGACGGAAGAAAAACGCCCAAAAAGGAAAAGAGATTGAGGTTGATTTTCATGGTTGCATAATAATTGGATGCAGACTGTAACTTGAAAAACTCGACATGGATAATTTGCTGTTTTATACATTTAATCATTAAAAAGCTAAAGATTGATGTTCACGTGACCAGAGTACTCTCGCGTAGGTTCATTTTCGTCTCATTTCACTGCAGCCATTGTTTTATACGGGCTGGTTATGGAGGTTTGATCGATTTTCTTATGTTTTTTCGCAATATGTAATGGAAACAAACCATGGATTTTACTATCAGAACGGGTAGCTTCTGCATAACTAGAAACTGAGAGTTTTTGGTGCGTGTAGAGTGCGAGCAGACTCTCCTTCAGTTTACAGCGAAGTCTTTCGCGCAAGTCAAATAGGGATAATTGATGCTGGGGCCTCAGAATTCCGCGCTGCGCGCTGACATTACTGATTTTTATTTTGACAAGCGCAACGGACTTTGCTAAAAAGCAGGGACTGCTCGTAAAAAAATTAAAAAAAAATTGATACTAAGGCCTCAGAGTTGCGCGCTGAATGCTGATATCGCTGACGCAATTCGCCAAAATGAAGGAACTGCACGTAATTTATGTTGTGTTGGCTTCATTGCTATATTTAATAAATATGTTTAGATTCTTAACGATTTTTTTTTTATCTTTTCTTGAACAGGTTGCTCAAATTTATCGCGATAGAAGTATTGGCTGCGCTATAAACATTGTTGTGGTGAAAATAGCCTACCTGGACACTAAGAACGTATGGATCTTGAATTAAACCAAATTTTTAACCCATTTTAACACCAGTAGGCATATTGTCCACATTGTTTTCTATACATTTCCCAAGGTGCTGACAAGTAGAATATGTTAAATAATCAAGAACTTCTTCTGTTAGTGATCTTTCCTTCATTTTCGTGACCTGATGTTTGATTTAGGAGTGAAATTTAAAGGATAAATTGGGGGGTTTGAAGGTTAAAGACGCCAGTTGTAATGTCCCGCGGCTTGCATTTTGCACCGCGTAAAACTATCACCAATTGAGGGAAACCACAAATATAAACATAGGAAGATTATAAATATTTTATCAAGAGGAAAGAAGCATTGAAGGAGCAGGAATTAAAATCTTTTATAAGAAGAAAAATTTGAATTATTTTAATTTTAAAAATTACAGCCTCTACAATCATTTCATCGCTGTTACGAACCATTGAAAATTCATAATTGCAACTAAGTAGCGTGCAAAATGGGAACTCACTTAAGAAGTGTTCTCACTCCCAAGAGTAACCAAGATGGAATTTCTTCTCCCGTTATTCATATTTTTTCAAGAAAATTTGAGAAGAAAGAACCGCCAGAGTTAAAACTAGCAGAATTGTATAATCGATTGGGTGGAAAATTGATATTAAGTTTCTGGGATTGAAAAATATTGAAATGGCGACTGTGCCGTGGCGCTAAGGGCTGCTAAAAAAAATTCGTGAGAGATTGCATAGAAAGCGAAGGAAACAGTGTACACAACAGGAAAACTCCGTAGAAGCAATTTCCTGTTTTGTTTAATCAGACCACAAATACAGTGAAGAATCCCGGAAGTTGATCTTCCGTAAAGACGTCCGCATTGGAAGTGAATCGCATGTTTCATCTTGTTTGAATTTAAGAACACGCACAGCTTAAAATTTAGCCAAGCAACGAGAGCAGATAAACTAGGGTTTCCAACGTTCATGGAGGAAAAAGATAATTAAAAAAAGACTCTCTTATTCAACTGGCTAGCCTAAGAAATTGGCCAAAGTGGTAAGGTCTTTATTACGAATAAGTATCGTTTCATCTACAACAAGCGCAGATGCTTCTAGTCACTACTTTCAATGAAAAACGGGATAAACTCCTCTAGTTAATGACCAAAAAGTTTGATAGGCTACTTACAATGGCCAGAGGTGTTTGCAGTGTTCGTAAATAAGTGATTGTCTGTTTTATTGATTTCAGCCTGGTTTCCATATTTCGTCAGACGCAACGCGAACTCTGAAAAGTTTCTGCCGCTGGCAGAAGAAACATATGATGTCAGAAGAGAGTCAGTCTCACCGCCACGATACCGCCATCTTGTTAACAAGGTAAATTTTTTTGCCAATATTGGGGATGTATTTTGGTCATTCTTGTTTGGAAATGTGAGTTTCAAATGCGCAAGAGCATGTGCAGATTTAGAGAAGGACAGAAAGATTGTGCATGCCAAAAAGTCGCGAACAGTTCCTTCACTCGGAGCAGTTGCGTTGGTAACATGGAAACACACAAGCATTCCTTGCTCTTCCGGAGTAAAAATTTGGCTGGCACTAAGCGGAGTGAATGATGTACTGGTTTTGTCACAGGAAAACAATGATATAACCTTTTATCTAGTTATGTCGGTACCAAGCGCCGAAGGACACAAAAGAGACGCGATGGAAAGCGCTGTTAAACGCAAGCAGCAAGCTCCAAACATCCAAAAACAAGTGTGGCTTGACAGAAACGCGAGAAGAGTCTAGAAAGTGAAGTGTAGAGAAAAAGTTAAATAAGAGCAAGGGAAGCTCGATTTACGAGATGTTACATGTCCTGGAGTTTAGAAGAACTTACAAGACACGAAACAAAAACTGTCTCAATTAGCTTTAACATTATGTTTGTATGAACTAGCTGTAGTAACGTTTCCTCAGCAGCTGATTAACTCATTGCTTTACTTTGTTTTTTTTGCAGGAGAGATATCTGCAGATCGCCCGGAAAGTGTGACACATTAGGTAATCTGAACTTACGAAATTTAAGAAATCTCGCCAGTGACAAATGAGCTCATTTTCCTTTTAAGGAGTATTAAGTATTGGTGGTACACAGCGATTTTGGTCGAAGTTGTCAGATCACGGGAGTCAAACAGCCTTTTCCGCAGCTCGCGAGCAAGCCCTAATTATTATCATCATTATTATTATATTTTTATCGCTTTAATTATCTGGGCCTGTTCGCAGGCTTCTTTTTCCGCAGTCGACCAAATTGTCCATCAATGATAAAGTTGTGCTTATCACAATGTATCTGTGGAGACAATACCCCCTTAATTTGTTGTTCTCTGTGTCATCATTCCTGACAAGGTGTACTGATGTCTTTGTTATTCCAGGTCTTGCAGAGCTTGGAACCATGTGCCAATCATCAAGGAGTTGCTCCTTGGCAGAGGACAATGGACTAAGCACAGCTTATACAATAGCACACGAACTGGGTCACGTGTAAGTTCACATATTTTTAAAGAGAATTTAAATTTAAGTGAGAACTTTCAGTCTGGAGGCTGAAACAACTCATTGCTTATGTTATAACATGCTTCTCAAACCTCTTGAGGGAAGATGAGGTCAACACAGTAAATGGTACAGATCCATGCTTCCTTAAATTCAAGTACATTCGATACAGTTGATACATTTTCCGATCATGGATAGCACCCTCCATGCTGGCGAGATGGTGTTGTCCTTCTCTAGCCTCCCCCTCTTCCTTCTCCTCCTTTGTTTCTTCTCCTTTTCCTCCTTCTCCTGCTTTTCCACCTCCCTTAGAGCCCCTTCTTTTTCTCCCTATCTCCCCTTCAACTCTCCGCCACCCTTTCTTCTGCCTCTACCTGCGTTTCATCTTTTCCTCCCCCTGTCTCTTTACTTTAAGTTCCCATTCATCTCAACCTATCCACTTCCTCCTCTAAAGGTTTCGTTGTATCAACTGAGTTGACCTCTGTTAACTTTACCTTTTCTTTCAATACATTAGATTTAGTCTTCCTCATGATGGAGATAACAACCTGTGTACACGGAGCAGGGGAGATCAACATCTGATGGCCCCTTCATTAAGCTTTGACTCCAAACCGTGGTCTTGGTCAAGCTGCAGCCGAGAAAAGATCACAAGGTTCTTAGAGTAAGTAACAAAACTAGTTTCAGTTTATTGCTTTAACATGTCGGTTGCGACAATAAATGACTGTGGATATATGAGAATCATAAATGTGAACTGCGGATTAGGAAATAAATCTAAGAGCGATCTTCACAGTAATGAATACTTCTTGAGCAGTCCTGAAAGTAAGGCCTGGAAAAAATTCAAGCCTGTACGGGATTTGAACCCATGACCTCTGCGATACTGGAGCAGTACTCTACCAACTGAGCTAACTAGCCAACTCGGAGCTGGTCATCATGTTGGTCCGTAATAAACCTGTGGCCCGTAAACCCGTGAGGTGTCTTCTGAATAGTGAAGTTTCATTGTTCTGTTTGCAGCTGTAACTTACTTACCTTGCAATCGCCTCTGTTTCAGACAAGGGTATGGATCTTGCCTAGAAAATAAGCCCAGTGAAAAAAATAAATCGAAGTACCATGGCAGGCTGCCGGGAGAAATTTACAGCGTGGACAAACAATGCCAAATGATATTTGGAGAGGAATCCAGGCTGTGTCCATATATGGTACGTATTGTTGGCAAAAAATTTCAACCTTCTGTAGGGAGTTTTCTCAATATTTTCCTGTGGAAAATGTACGCAAGGCAAGGATTTGCAAAGGATATTTAAGATTTTGTTTGCGAGGCACTGCCTTAGCTTCTGTTCCACTTCATTTTCTATAAGGAACCTTGCAGACGCCTGTGGTGCGTCAAGATGATTGGGAAAAGAAAAGGCTGCTCCACTCATCACATGCCATGGGCAGATGGAACGCCGTGCGCAAAAAGGAAGGTAAATTCTCCAAACTTACCGTCATAGATCTCTGTCTGTGTTAGTATTGAGAGTTTGATGTTCTATCATTGCAATATCACTTCTTTGATAATGATCTTAATTCTCACCAGCTGTCTACCTTACAACGCTTTGTTAGTAACTGAAATGAGACGCTACATGCTTATCTATTTTGGAGTCAAAAAAGTGTCTTCTCAAGCCTTAGAAACAAATTTTGTCTTTTGTGTTCAACCCAAAATGCTTATTTCTTGTTTCTTCTCTCTTTCTTTTATTCTGAATCTTCCATTATGAAAAACGTTTCAAGGTTATTTAAAAGTTTTGTTTCTCTTTTTGTTTTTCTTCTCTGTATTGTATCTCCAATATCTCGAATTGACTGTTCCTATCCAAATTTTTTTCAAACTGTCGCTTTTCACAAACCGCTCTCAAAACGAATGAGCTTTCTTATTGCGAGTAAAAAGCTGTCCTTAAATTTTTCCGATTTGTAGCGGATCTACTCAAATATATTTAAGTTCGCAAATCTGGACGTTGATGACTCGTGACAGCTAATTCGTTTTAAAAACAGTTGGCTTACGTGTTTACAGAAATTTAACCCTTTGGAACGGAACACTTCCAGTTTCCCTCGTTTGTTAGTCCATTCCACGTGCTTCTTTCCAATTGAAACACACGCGCACCATTGGTACTCTAACAATTAACACGTTCCTTAAGTGACGTTTACCAAATCGAATCTGTCGAAACATGCTGTCATAAACTAAGCCTAATTATGAGAAGGCTGTAATTAAGGATCATCGCTTACTTAACACAATCATCAATCTGTGAACTTCCCGTAAACTTTGTACATACCAACCAATTTTTCGCGTGCGTTGGTTGTCTGATGTTACCGGTCGTATACGGAATGTCCTGATGATTTTTTCTTGTTTAAAAATAATTTTTCAAAAATACTTCGATTTAATTTCCCTTAAATTATTTTGACCATGTCGAGATAACTGCCGTTTTTGTGTGTGTTGTGCAAGACTATCTAGCCTTAGATGGGGAAAAAAAAGTGATATATGAGTTCGGAGGAATAAGCAACTGCAAAACTATTAATTTCATCAAGAGAGATTAAGAATGGCTTGGGATGGTGAAGATAGCTACAGACCGCGCACGACCTTCTCAAGATTCGCAAATAGGGGTCGCTTATTTACTGTTAAGTTTGTGATAGACGAAGGTTCTGACAAAACAGCTTTCTGTTATCAAATAACAATTTTAGACATTTTCTCAAATTTCTGCAGATCTTACTAGATCTTTGTAAATGATATGTTCCTTTATCAATTTATCATCAGATACTCGTGTTTGAGATATTTCCTCTTCTACGTTTTGACTTTCACTAGGTGCCAACTTGTTTTCTTCAACTTAATTTACCTGTTAATATTTAAATACTGTTGTTTGTTTGTCATCGCTCTCTACGAATGAAATGTTCGCATATCGTTAATCCCTCAGAATATTTCCGATTTTATTTTAGAGTGAAAAACCACAAGGGTGTTGACTGTATTGAATACACCAATTCACTCAGAAAACATATCAGTCGTTCGGACACTTTTCCTATGCTCTCAAGATCTGAGCATATCCTCTTGTCTGAAGATGGTATTTCAGTTGTATTAAAGATAATCCTATTAAACGAAGACCTTTCAAAATAAATCTCTTAATCAATAACAAATTGATACCTCTTCAATCTTTTAAAAACGATATTTTAAACTTGTATCTACATTGTGCAAACTTTGGGACAACCACTGTTACTTGAACCAAAAGCTGTTTTCGTTGGCTGCAAGTAGTTTACAAACATCTCATATCCTTTTTAAACTGTACGTTTTCAATGTTGCCCACATAACAGGGTCGTAGGTCAAACTCATAAGCCGATTAAGTTTAATATTTGTTGTGTTTTTAATTCCAATCACTCACCCCCAATTTTTTTGCATTCTCGAGTGACATAGTTACCATATGTCACACTTCTTCCTAAATTACAGCGGATACAAATTCTTTCATGTCAAACACGTTCATATTTAACCAGGAGAAAATAATAAACCCATTATTTTCTCTTGGTGTAACATAATATACAACGAGACGGATGTTTCGCAGGGAAAGTTGTCTTCTAATTAGGCCAATTAGATGGCGGCAGTTTGTTCCTTACTTGGAAGTACTGCGCAAAAACTTCTCGTTACTTATAATGACTTAAAGGAAGTTCCTATCATACTCTTTGTTGGAACATCTAAGCCCCCTGCTATGTAAGCAGAATTACGGCAATAAAAAATGTTTATTCAGTTTTAGTACACCAGATTTCTTAGTCTAGAAAGTTCTAACGTAGTTACCAAGGCAACGTGCAATACTAGTCTATGCACACTAAAAAGGACACCAGAGTTTTGCACAAAGATTAATAGTGCCTCGCCCCTTCCCTCTCTCGTGAAATTTGTGATTTTGCAGCAAGCCAACTTCTTTTTCAGATCTCTTTTGTTATTTTATAATCTTTAGATTGCTTCTATCACGAGCGGTTTTCACGGTGATATTCCCGTTAACAACCACCACACAAAAAGTCGAATCGCTTCACGCTTTAAGAATCACTGAACTTTCTTCAATCGACCCTCATCACGGGATTACACCTTATACATTTTAACACTTCACAACCTTTTCCAACAAAAATAATTACTTGTATCATAAAGTCGTTGACAATTAAGTACTAGGTTCATTAGAGAAGAAACCGTCTTCCTTTAAATTTTTCCATAACGAGGGTGTAGAATTAAGCGAGCTATCTTTAACTCTTCACTCGAGGTAGACCAAGGAAGAAGCTTGACTACTTAAATGGAATTTATCAAAAATAATTGTTAATTAAAATTTCTTACTTAACTGACCAGTATCAACAACAGTCATTCGACAACAAGTTAAGGTTAATGTTGGGTTAGGGGAGGGATAGGTGAGCAGTTGCCCAGATATTGATATAGATCCAGATCAGCTACATAGGACACTTCAATTGCTGATGTGAAGTTTTTTTTTTAACTTACTCAGTGGTGCATCAAAGGTCAGTGTGTGAGGAAACGAAAATTAAAACCAGTAGACGGTGGCTGGGGACCATGGGATTCTTTCAATGAATGCACAAGAAAATGTGGAGGAGGGATTTCCTTCGCATACAGAAAGTGTAACAAACCAATGTAAGTACCCAAATAATTTCTTCATCTAATCACGAAACTGCTGTCAAGCCATTCAGGTTAGTTACTTATGTCACGCGCATTTTCTATTAGCGATAAGCGAACGCCGATGTTCACTTTGCTCGTAACAGAAAGAGAAATAGGACTTTAGCTTGGAACATAATTCTTGCCCTGTTATGCAGTTCAAGAATGTTTTGATCTTTCAAAACTACTTGTTATCAAAGGACAATGGACCTTTATCTTATTTTTCAGCCCAGAAAATGGAGGTAAATACTGCGTTGGAAAACGAAAACGTTTTGTGTCATGCAACACTCAGGTAAGAATGTTGTAATGTGATTTATTTCATTGAATGTTTCCACTTTTCGTTCTTGCCTTGTGCCCGTCAGCTTAATGCAAGTGTTGTTGGGTTGTTATATTGGCAGGAATGTCCACCAGGGTCACCGGATTTCCGAGCCTTGCAATGTGTGAATACGCATGGGCGACGTCTGAGTATTGGGTCGAGGAGTTTCAGATCGACTCAGTGGCTGCCAAAATATGCTGGAGGTAAGTGAGAACTTCACGTTAAGTTTATGAAGTTTCTAATTGTACTGGTTCTTTTCTAACTGGCTATATGTGTTGTCCTGATACAGTTCGCAAAGAAAATCAATGCAAGCTGTACTGCCGCATGGCTGGCACTGCAATTTATTTCAAACTGAAGGACAAAGTTATTGATGGGACCCCTTGTAATCAAGAGACCACAGACATCTGCGTGGATGGCAAATGTTTGGTAAGTTACACATTTTACAAAAATGTGATATACGAGTCAACGACGACTTCACAACGACGAAATAAACGATTTCATTGTGACGAAGACGACGAGAGCGTATCGAACATGACGACGACAAATAAATACAGAAAAGACGATACGACGAAGAGGAAAACGACGAGAGCATAACGACAAACGATGATCAATACGAAAGTGCCTCGGTAACGACGACAAGACGGCATGACAACGAAACGATAAGACTATGAAGAATACAAGAACACGTTTTTATAATGACGACGACGACGACGACTTCAAGACTATAAAGACGACAACATGGCGATGAAAACAATGAAATGAGAAAGAAAACAAATTCTCCAGTAGCCCTGCGTCATATGAGAACTCTGCTTTGCTTGTAGGCTGCTGGTTGTGACAGAGATCTGAGCTCAAAGAAAAAATTTGATAAATGTGGAGTGTGCGGAGGAGACAATTCCTCTTGCAGGAGATTGTCCAGGACATTCAACGAGACAAGGTTTGGTAAGGGTTAGCGGAATGTACTTGTGGATTAGATCTCGGTCCCTTCCACCCCATTTATTTGTATTTGAATCCGCGAGGATAAAAAGCTTTAGACAGAGAAAACAACTCTTTTTATCCCTTAAGATTAAGTGAGAAAGTCACGTGATTAAGGCACCCAGGCGCGATTGACATGACACATTTTCTTACAATATCAATACGTTGTCCAAAGGGTAGGTGAGAAATCTGACAAACTCGCCAGTCGGACGCTTTCGTTTTTACACAATACCAATTCTCTTCAATTCTTAACAAGAGTATGTGCGTCAACTGTAAGGTAGGATTGCAATTCATAGAATCATTGTCGAAGCTTCCACCCCCAAAAAAGACGAGCTGACTTGAATTTACTATAGAAAAAAGTGAATGATCACTTTCATTTGGCCTTATTTACAGGATACAATTACATATTTACGATACCTGTTGCCTCGACGGACATAGTCATCACTCAGTATGGTTGGAAAAATAAAGAGGATTCTAGCTATCTAGGTTAGTATTTCTTTTTAGAGTCAATTCCAGTGTCTTATTTTTTTTATTCGCTCGTTTATCCTCGTTCTAATACTTATATGTTGAATTAACGCTCTCTTGATAATTCATATGGTAAGCGGGAAATGAGACTTTTGAACTAGGACTTGGAATAGTTTAGCGTAGGAGGTTTTGCGTGATGTTAACGAAATCTCTGTCCTGGATCTCTCGTTATGAGCGGAGTCTCAGGTTTTTCGGACTTCAGGTTTTTTAAATAAAAAGTTTAGTTAAACGAAAAGGGAATGGTGTTTATCCGTAAACTTTCAAAGTGCGGGCATCCTAGTTAAATGGAATCTGGTTATACCAGCCAACGGCCCAAATTTTTCTCGCTTCACCTAATTTGCTGTCGGTGGGAGTCGATGTACGCTTCATGCAACTGTCCTAAAGTCCTCTCCGTTCCATATTTTCAGCACTTCAGGATCAAAATGGTAAGTTCCTTCTCAACGGAGGAATGATTGTGGGGGTCGGAATAAGAGAATTCCGTGTCGCTGGCGCAAAGGTCTGGTACTCAGGTTCTGAAAAAGCGACAGAACAAATCAAGATTTCAGGAAAAGTTACTGAACCAATCAAAGTGCACGTGAGTATACAGTGCAGCCTATCAAATGGTGTCGTTTGAATAGCAACGTCACGTGTCCATGTAAAAGTGATAAGCGAGGGCGTAATTTACTCCCGGTGCAACTGAATTAGGAAACATCTCGTCGACTCTGGTTTAGTCTCTTTACAAACTAGTTTTTTTTTTTTAACAACGTGAGGTAGCGCCCGAAATATTGACCAACAGCGGATACAGAGCGGTAGAAATGGAAAAGAAATAAACAAATTGTAAGAAAAAGGTTCAGTGAACTGACTTGTAAAGTCCCTTTCCCGTCTCAGTTGTTCTGGACCAGAGAACTCAATCGTTTCGTTTTGTAAATCTTCAAGATTCCCTTTCTCTTGGCTATTTATGAGTTGATCCAAAGGCTTCTTTGATTTCACAGGTTCTTGAAGTTGGTGACGTATTACCTCCCAACATCCACTACTCATTCAATCAAAAGATAGCGGAACCAAGAAAGCTTGTATACATGTGGAGCCAGCTTGGACCTTGGACGCAGTGTAATAAACTATGCCGAGGTGGGACGAATATTCCCGCGTGACTTGTCCCATAAAGCCTAACACTGGCCACGCAGCCTCTGTCACACAACACTTGCCTGACAAAATTTACCACTCTACACTCCCCACGACACACCATCTTAGCGTTATGAAGGAATGAATCAGGAGGCACCTAGTCCAGGCCAGGGATGTGTCAATTGCACTCACTAAGTTCTAGTCATTTATAGAAACTTTCTCGAAGTGAGGTGCGCTTTCCAATGTGACACCATGGTGTCACTTTGATCCTTGATTAAGAATCATGGTGCGCATGTCTGGAAAACTAAAAATAGTACATTAACTATGTTCTCATGCTTAAACGCGTTCCTCATTTCTTATGAAATTCTGTTTATTTTTTACCAGGAAAAAGAAACCGCCAACCCAGATGTATTCGTGCTATTGACAAACAACAAGTGTCAAATTCCCGCTGTGATCAGAGGACTCGTCCGAGCAGTGTATCAGAGCCCTGCAATTTAAGTTGCGTACTCGAGTAAGTAATGCAATTGTTTCAATACTTTTGGTGGGTAAAAGGCTTAATTTCAGTTCTTAAGTTACTTTTACTATAAACTGAAAGGATAAGTAAATAACTTTCCGTCAGGCACACATACAGATGCACAGACAGACAGACAGACAGACAAACAGACAGACAGACAGACAGACAAACAGACAGACAGACAAACAAACAGACAGACAGACAGACAGACAGATAGACAGACAGACAGAAATACAGACAGACAGACAGACAGACTAACAAACAGACGGACAGAGAGACGGACGGTATAAGATAATGTCTAACTGATTGACTGTATGATCAACAGACGGACTGAGATAGTAGGACTGAGGGATATACAGAACAAAAGACTGGTTCACATCGTGAATGCCTGACAGTCTGACGAGAGAGACAATGACTACCAAACAGACGGACAAACAGAACAATAAATTGAATGATTTATGCTTTAGTAGCTTTAGAGGACAAATTGTAAATGACACAAAAAGAAAGTTGGTTTGTTTCTTAAATTTGCAGATGGAAAATACAGAGCTCAGGAGAGTGCTCTGCCCGCTGTGGGGCTGGGGACCAGACACGTATCGTACGGTGCATGCGTATTAGCAGTGACCGATGGGATATTGTGAAGGACAAACATTGTGCAAAAGGTTCAAAGCCTGCCGTGGTTGTTCAGTGCGAGGGAAAGTGCGAGGGAACCAAGTGGGTCTACTCTGAGTGGTCCAAGGTATTTAAACTGGGGTACAGATAGCACACGAGTTCTGACTGATAGAGAAAAATGCGTTATAAAAATTAGCAAGGAAGCTTTTTAAACAATTCTTCATTTATTTATTTGACTCCTTCAGGATGCATTTGACTTCCTTGGTGTTTATTTGACCTCTTCAGGTTGCATTTGACTACCCTCAGGTGCCTTTGTCTCCTCCAGAGTGCATTTCACCTCCTTGGGCATACATTCGGACCCCCCTTAGGTGCATTCTATTCTTTTTAGCGTAAATTCTACTTCCCACTAAGGTGACTCCTTCTCCCCTCTCCGTCTCAGGACAATAAAATAACCTGCCAGGTGTCAGCATGGCGCAAGGAAACGTTTCCCCACTATAACGATTCCTACTCTCCCACCAATTAATGAAAACTAGTGTCCATTTGTTTTTTTGTTTTGTTTTTGTTTTTGTTTTTTCAGTGCTCAAAGAGTTGTGGTAAAGGAAGACAAAACAGAACGGCAGAATGTATGGACAATTTTGGAGAAAAACTTGAGGATCGAGATTGTCGCCCAAGTGACAAACTTTCACTTAATAGACACTGCAATACTTTTAAGTGCCCGTGGTGGACAAAAGGAAACTGGACCTCGGTAATTAAAAAGAGTTCTTGTTTACATTCTCGATTGCTTTATCCCATGGATTTAAAACCATACTTGTCTGTTTATCCTTTTGCGTGTTTGTCAGGCTATCTGTATCTCTTTCTGTTTTGTCGGTCTATCTTCCTGTCTTCCTGATTATCTGTCTGTCTGTCGACCTCTATGTCTGATTGTCTCTCTTTTTGTTTGTCCGTTTTACTGTCTGTCTATATGTTCATTGTCCAACCTCTGCTAAGAATCTTTTCCTAAAAGCAGACACTCGTCTACAGCAGACAATTTGTCTGACACTGATTGGGGCCTAACTACTTACAGCCTGCATGGGAATACTGCCAATCTTCCCTTAAATAGTACAATTTGTAGACTGTTTAGTCAGCTATGCTTGAAATCAATCAGCCAAACCTAAGTTTACGTTTGTGAAAAATCGTCTTGCAGGGGTCCAGTACAGACTATCTCCCGGGGGGGTACCTTCAATATATGAGTGAAGGGACACCAGGAGTTGATGACATTGTAAATGATCGCAGTAATATGGTTAAAACAAACAATCGCTCTTGAAACCTTCCGCTCACAGTGTTAGCATCATACCCCATTGTCTCCCGTCCCATTGCTTGACCATTGCAATACCTTGCCTCCTCTTCCCAGCATCAAATTCCAACAAATGAGCATCTCATTCATTATTTTCCTCTCCCAGTGTAGTGTGACCTGTGGCTCGGGACAGCGCACCCGTCATGTGACATGTACTGGTGAAAAAGGAACAGTTATGGACACAGCCTGTAATCTGAGTCAGCGGCCAGTCTCGACAAAGTCATGTGACCTCAAAAAGTGTCCGTACTGGTTTGCGGGGAAATGGACGGACGTAAGTTAATTTGAAGTCACTTTGTCTTTGATTAACTTTTTATTTTAAGTGGAAATGATCACCAATTTCAGAAGCACCTGACTGTCATAGAAATTCTCCTTGTCCTTACTGATCACAGGGAATTTTTAGAAATCAGCGTGGAGAGTATGAATGTTGTGGTGAGGGTGTAAAAACTTAATCTCGTAGCCGTCTTCCTGATCTTGTTTATCGTTTCCAGTGCTCTAAGACGTGCGACGCAGGTTTTATGACCCGGCGCGTCCTTTGTCAGTCGGGGGAACCCGTCCCTCGAGTGTTGGATGACATCCAATGCTCCCCCCTGGCCAGACCAATCTCCCGCAAAGAATGTAAAAGGGAAGACTGCAGAACGATGCTGTTCATGTTTCCAGAATCAGGCGAAAACACGAAGTATTATTGGAGATATTCGTTATGGACGCCGGTAAGTTTCAATAAGTGCATACAGTATAACATTACTGTTGTTTTTACTTCGTTAAGCAATAAAAAGCCAGTGACCAGCGGTCTGCGGCCTGCGAGCACGCTCTCGTGTTTGGATTTTGTCGTACGGCCCCTTTTCGGGCAGCCGCTATTGGATAAACTTGTTGAAGTCCTCGTTAAGTTGTTTGAGTGGTTGGTTAATTGTTCTACATCTTCCTCCCTTGTTTTTTTCTTTTTTCGCGTTTTATCGGATATTTTTCTTTCACCTTTTTTTAGGAGTTAATTTCTTGCTGTCGTCGTTGATATTGTTGCTAATTTTATGAAATGTTTTTCTCTAGTGTTCTGCGACATGCGGAGAGAAGCCTGGGACACGCTATCGTGATGTTGAATGCGTGAAGGTGAAGCCTGGGTACGAGACTGCTGTCGAAAAGCAGGAGTTGGTCAATAAAAAGTATTGTGAAGAAAAAAAGAAACCCGCTAACAGAGAAGAATGCAAAGTCCTACCATGCACAAGCTGGAAACACGGGTCCTGGGGCAGAGTAAGGATCTTTTTGCCTCCTACCTTCTTTGCTTGAATTTTTTTTCAATACAATTTTTTACGATTCATTTTCAAGTTCCATGTCAAAGATCACACACTCAAGTTTCTTTAACAGAAAAAAAGTTCCTCCAAAATGATGCATTGAGAATTATTTCTAACGAGATCGAAGTTGTTAAGAGATGCGATGAAGTCTCAAATGTTTGGAAAATTTTATCAAAGGAAAAAAGAAAGAAAAGAAGTTTTTCTCATTAAAACATTAAAACAAAATCTTCAAGTCTCAGAGACGGTTATGTTGTCTCACATAATAAATTAATATATTTTACCTACTATCAACAAATACCCCGAGAAACCATGAAATTATGATTACTATTCTTAGGAGGTAACCATGGTTACTATTCTCAGGGTAGTCATAGTTACTATTCTCAGGGTAACCATGGTAACAGGCGATGGTCAAACATGCCTCCTCGGAGTAATAGAAACGGTTCTAGTAGCCCCACGCTGCTGAAACCAGGATAAGTTCCAGATTTGTTTGCTTCAATAGGTTTGCCTTCAGATTTTATCTAATCTTTGTTCAATTGCAGTGCTCTCAGCCTTGTGGCTGGGGTTTTCAGCTTCGTGTAGTCAAGTGCACATATGACAACTGGAAAATAACAAAAGACGAAAATTGCGATCAAAAAATCCGCCCAAAGAACAGGAGAGATTGTCAGATCAACCCGTGTAAATCAACTACGCCAGCTCCGACGACTCCGCAAGAAAAACCGAGTTGGAAGGAAGGAACGTGGAGCGAGGTAAAATTGATTCTTTTTTAACATAACTTGTTTCTGCGTCGAATCATACCTGTTTGTTTTCAATTCTTATTTAATACCTTTAACTCCCATGAGTGACCAAGACAGAATTTCTCCTGACAATATCATTACAATATCAAGCAGTCAAGTGATGAGAACAAAGAAAAATATCAACTAGGGGATAATCAGTTGATCCAATACCAAATGCTCCGAACTAGCATCACAAGATTTATATGTCAGACAGTAAGGAGAATTACTAATGAGATCGTGGGAGTTGAAGGATTAAAAGGATTACCTCCGGTCACTTCAATCTAGATTAGTTTGTTCCTTTCAGTGTTCTGTCACGTGTGGTCAAGGTGAAAGACATCGGGAAATCAGCTGTAGTCATGACAACGGTCAGATCAGCAGCGACTGCGATCCTAACTCCAAACCAGCCAGCGTTATGGAATGCGTTTTACGAGCATGCCCCGTATGGCACGAAGAACCATGGAGTGAGGTACGTAGTGAAGGCTTATTTTGGAAGGAGAACGTTTGAAACTTTCTTTTACCTGTCGTGCTTAGAATGGAAGATTACAGTGTAAAATCGAACCTCGTATAGAGCAATACATCCACTTTTCTTCTCTGCAGTGTTCAGTCTCCTGCGGTGAAGGCACCAGACAACGAAGTGTTGATTGTAGATTCGCAAATGGCCAGTTAAGCCTCGGATGTGACAAGAAAAAGAGACCCACGACTAAAGAGGCCTGCAACATAAGACCGTGTCCTACATGGATGACAGGGGACTGGGGCAGTGTAAGTTATCCCTCTGGCGCAATTTCTCAACATATAAACCTAGTCATGAGCGAGATTCTATGTGCTTATTAAACAAGCGGGAGGGATTCATGGGAAAAAGTTAGGCCTGAGGTAACCGTATGACGAGCATCGTCCGTTCCCAACCAAACTCAAGCAAGAAGAAATTTCATCAAATGCCAATATATCTTCTGAATGTTGAGTTTATGTTTGAGTCTAAAAAGGACGCGTTGAAATACATGAGAAGGGCATGCGCTGGATAACTACACAAAATATTCTTATTAAATATTTTCCTTTTTTTCCTTTGCTTTAAAATAAGAAACTTACAATTCATCGAAAACGCGATTTTCTTTTTAAGTTTACTTGCACTATAAGAATTCATGTTCTCGGGGCCAGACGGCTTTCTCCGGACTGATTCACGTCAACTGGTCCTTACACAAGTGAGCTTACATTATGATGTCATTGTTCTATCGAGTCGCATAGAGCGTGGCCTTACGGGTCTTATGAAAAGAAACATTTTATTTCACAGTGTTCAGTAACTTGTGGGGCAGGAACTAAAGCTCGTTCCGTGGAGTGCAGTGACAGAGATATCAAATGTGATCCCGGAACAAAACCCGAAACCATTAGCAATTGTGATCTAAAAGAGTGTCCGCAATGGATAGCAAGCCCATGGGAAGAGGTATTCTCACTCTCTCACAATACTTTTTGACTTGAAAGAAATTTTAATAAATTTTAATTTAAATTTTTAAGGATTATTTTTACTTTGTGAAATTTCACACGATTATCTTTTTAGAAATAGAACACACTGTAAAATGAATCCTTACTATTCGAACAACGGGGTTTAATTAAAGAAAGCCATACGGCGAAATGAATACATTTTCTATACTTTTAATGGTGTACTTAGAAGTAACAGTTGATCTATGTTATTTTGTTTACGTAAGTGTTCCGTTTCTTGCGGACAAGGCATAAGAAAACGTCAAGTTGATTGCAAATCTGCGGATGGACAACGGAGTCTTGGATGTGATCTGAAAATCAAACCTGCAGTCAAAGAGGGCTGCAACATTAGACCGTGTCCCTCGTGGATGACTGGGGCCTGGGGCAAAGTAAGAATTGTATCTGGATCTTTCAATCATTTAATTCAATTTTTTTAAAGGGCTTCAAATACACATTTATGGCATCAGTCGCTGATTTCTTTTTCTTGTCCTTCAGTGTTCAGTGACTTGTGGTTCAGGAGTAAAGGTACGCACAGTTGAATGCAGTGATAAAGATGTACCGTGCGATGCTAAAACAAAACCGCTGGCCAAGGAGCGCTGTGTTCTTAGGGCATGCCCACAGTGGATCACAAGCCCCTGGGAAGAGGTAACTGTATACATGCACATACTTTTCATTCAAAGGCTTAACATATTACGTATGTAGATATTTTGCGAGGTGCATTGTATTTTCCAAGTACAAAGGCTCCAAAACAAGTCATTTTCGTTTCATTTTTCCTCTTTTCTGTTTGTACTTTTGACGAGGGTAGACGTATTTCTTTTTCTTTAGTGCTCAGTCTCCTGCGGTGAAGGCACAAGGCAACGCAGTGTTAAGTGTAGACTGGAGACCGGACAATTGAGTCCCGGATGTGACGAAAGAATCAGACCATCTGCCAAAGAGGCCTGCAACATTAGGCCATGCCCTACATGGATGACGGGAGAATGGGGCAAAGTGAGTGGTCTTAGTGGACTTAAATTTAAAGAATTCTAGAGTATTCTAGACAAATTGAGTGAGTGAACCACTTAAGCGCTATTTTTTCTCTTCTTTGGTAGTGTTCAGTAACTTGTGGCTCTGGAATGAATTTTCGCTCAGTTGAATGCAGTGACGAAGACATACAATGTGATATCAGAACGAAACCACGGAACACACAACGATGTGATCTTCGGGCGTGTCCACGATGGATCACTGGTCAATGGGGGCAGGCAAGACAGAATTTGCTTATCATATATCGTTTTTTGTCAAAAATATCAAATTGAATGTACGAGGCATTGAAGGGAATCTTCCAAATAGAAGGCTCTCAACTAATTGCTGGAAAATAGAGGAAATGGTTTTAGAAACTACAAAAGGAAGAGGGAACCTCCACTTTCTGTATATCTTTCCTTCAAGACCTAACAAGATACGTGTTGACTTCAGTATTCTAACTTATTCCCGGAAACAATGAAAAGCCATTTACTATCATAGAAATAGGAGTAGGTGGTGATATAGAGTCCAGTTTTTATCAGATGACCTCATCAAATATTTTGGATAAGCTGATACAATTCTTTTTTGCAAACAGTCTGCTATTTTCCTCTCTTTATCGTGTTTAGATAGAATCACACAATCTAATGTATGTCGCTGATGTAAGGGACTTTTCTTCTTTCCTTTTACAGTGCTCGGTAACTTGTGGATCAGGGACCAAAATGCGTTCAGTGGAATGCAGCGATAAAGACATCAGCTGTGATTCTGAAACGAAGCCGTTGACGACTGAGCGATGCGATCTTAAAGCTTGTCCGCGGTGGAATGCAGGGCTATGGGGAGAGGTGAGACCAAATTTACGTAACACAGCAGTTAAACGCAAGAGGATCAATTCGACCGGCCGTGCGCCAATTTCCCGCCACAGAACTCTGGGAAAAACCGCTGACACAGAAAATATGCGAGGAAAAATAAAAAGGTCGCCAAAATCTATATAAGGATACAAAAGTAGGGAAAAAAATGAAAACTCGAAGCTTTTCGACTTTCCCTGGCTGTCGATTTACGATTTTCTTTCTAACTTTATCAAAAAAAGCTGTTAGCTTCTTAAACAACTTGACATATTGCTTTGTTTAGTTGTCTAAAGCTCTTGTAAAATAACTTAGCGCTGACGTCCTAGAAACACACCACTAGGCTACTACAACGTTCGCTCATGCTCACATGTGGTCCACTTTCTTAATTTATGCCCCACGTAGAGCAAAACTATTATGCATTGCATTAGATGAAATTCCAAACTGGCGCGCTCTCTCTTTCTTTCTTGTAGTGTTCAGTCTCCTGCGGAAATGGTACAAGGCTGAGAACTGTGGATTGTAGATTACTAAATGGTCGTTTAAGTCCCGGATGTGACAAGGAAAATCAACCCTCAGCTAAAGAGGCATGTAACATCAGACCGTGTCCTACATGGATGACGGGAGAATGGGGCCGAGTAAGTACTCCTTTTACAATCGTTTTCTGCGCAAATTTTACCTCTGTATGTGGTTGGATATTAATAAATTTTCTTTCGTTCTTCTGATGGATATCAAGTGCTCTGTGACATGTGGCTTAGGAGTGAAGACTCGCTCAGTAGAATGCAGTGACATAGACATACCATGCGATGTTTTAACGAAACCAGACACTTCAAAGAGATGTGATCTTGCTAAATGTCCACAATGGGAGGCGGGTCCATGGGGAGAGGTATGTAACACAAAAAACTGCAGAAAAAAAAGGGGGGGAAGCATCCAGTCACAACTCTACCACAGAAACTCGCGTCTGGTAACCCAACAGCTTTGTCGTGTATCCTTCACGTAGAATATCAAAGCTAAGCCCGCAAAGTCCATAACTCGAGTCACAAAAATTTTGCAAAACAAAACAATCAGTCCGTGCAACGTGCTTGCATCAATTGTATGGCAGACAGTGAGGAGAATTAAATTACTAATTACATCTTGAGAGCAATAGGGCTAACTAATTAGAAGCTGACTAAAACCAATTCCGACTTGGGTTCTTCAAGCAAACTGCTTTCACTTGTTCAGGTTCTTGTCACCACCCTTTCATTGTTTGATGTTCTATTTTTTACGATTTTCTTCATCCTTCTTTTATCATTATTTAACCCTCTGACCCCTAAGAGTGATCAGCGTCCAATATCTCCTTACAATATCACTCCTGAATCAAACATTAAGGTCACGAAAATAAAGGCAATAATTTCCAACAAGAGAAGCTCTTGATTGTTGAGCAAATTCACCTATTCAGCTTCTTAAGAAATGTATAGAGAACAGTATGGAGAATATGTAAGCTGATGTTAGAGTTTAAAGGGTAATACTGTTCTTTTTTCAGTGCTCAGTGACGTGCGGTTCAGGAGTTAAAAGTCGGAACGTGGCTTGCGTTGGAATCAGTTCCAATTGTAACACAAGAACCAAACCACGCTCTACCTTGAGGTGTAACAACTTCTCTTGTCCGAAATGGAGAACAGGATTGTGGAGTAAGGTATAAATGAATGCCTTTGTGGCGAACGCACCGATTTATTTTCAAATTTTAATTGCTTAACCAGTTTTTCTGAAATCAAGGAAGAGATGATTCAGATAACAGTAATTTACAATGATAACAAACAAGGTAAATGAAATCGAACGAAAAAAGGACAGAAATAATCTAGCTGGCGGCTAACATACTAATACAAAACGATTTAGGGACACTAAAGGAGAAATCGCGTCACTCATCCAACCAATCAGATGCAAAACTAAAAATCAAGAAGGACCAGGTCACCTTCGTTTACCAGCGCTGTTGGCAGTTTGGTTGTCAAGTTACTTTGAGTTTTCAGTGCCTTTTGAACTTAGTAATTCTTTCCTGAGTGGCCGTTGTCATTACCTTGGTTATTGAAAAGCACTCCAAGATAAGAACTAAGTAAGTCATTGAAAGCTGGCACAAGCTTGTTGATAACTGTAAGCATGTTTTACTACTGATTATTGAAGTGTTGACCTAGTAATGTCTTTTGACCCCTCTCATGTGACTGATTTTTAGTGCTCAAAGTCTTGTGGGAAGGGAACTAAGACACGCAAAGTGGATTGTGTCGGAGGCCTGGACCATCAATGTGATCCCACGAGCAAACCGGCTTCAACGGCCGAATGTGATCATGGGCGCTGCTCAAAATGGAGTGTTGGAGAATGGCAAAAGGTAATTAATTGTCAGTAATTATCACTTGCTGTAGTAGTCATTGTTGTTACTGGTTTTATTTCGATGCTGTTGTTGTTTTTGTTTTTGATAGTAGTGGTTGTTGTTAATTTTTTTGCCACGTTTTCGTCGTTGTCGGTTTTATTGTCGTTGTTGCTGTTGTTTTGAGCTTTGTTGTTAAAGTTGCCGTTATTGTTGTCGTTGTTATTTTCAAAGCTGTCATTCACGCTGCAAGGATGGTCACGGAATTGTTCCATCGAGGGTTCCAAACTTTGATTCAGATAACGCAAAAACCTTTTTTTCTCTTTTACACTTAAGTATAAATAATGTAAGAAATAATTCAAGATTAAGATTGAGATCAACTTAATTTATGATTATTACCTTGAGTTTACCATTGATGGCGACTTAAATCAGTGAGACTGACGGCTTTTATTCATCTGTCAAGTAACCACGATGAACAAACACACCTTTTATATCAAGGAATCCTATAAAGGAAAAAATCGTTCTTGTTTATTGTTTCTAGTGCTCTGTGACTTGTGGTCGAGGCTGGCAATTTCGTAAAGTGGTATGTGTTGGAAGCAGTATACGGTCATGTGACTATAGAAACCAACCAGATATTTACGCGCAATGCAACATGGGGCCGTGTCCTGTATGGCAGGCGGGAGACTGGGAAACGGTAAGGAAATTCAACAAACTATGCAAATAAGCTCGAGTTAAAAGGAGTAAGGCTAAAATAATCACAGCTTTTTCCCCTGTAAGAATTCGAATGCGATTTAGGAGAAGGCTGGTTTCCAAGCATAGGTGCCAAGATCTCTGTTTTTGTGACCGAGATTTTGGTAGGATGTCTTGGAATGCCCAATTTATCATAAATCAACTTCTCCTGCTTGAGAGATCGCGCAAAGTTCCCCTCAGAGACTGAGCGAAAACTTTCCACATGAATAGTATTGAGAAGACCTCCCACCTAAGTAAACGGGCTGGAATTTATTTCGTAGGCAGAAAAAAATAAAAATTTAGTCCGCCAGTCAGGTCAGTCCGGTTTTCGAGCTAACAAACGTTCGCCCAATTCTGATAAAAAATACCAGAAGCTGACAAATGAAATTTGTTTTCTTTGCAGTGTTCAGTTTCCTGCGGAAATGGTGAAAAAAGACGTACAGTTACATGTAGTGGAGGGGAAGGGAATTGTAACGCAAGAAACAAACCGCTTGCCATAACCAGCTGTAATCTTGGTGCTTGTCCTGTTTGGAGATTTGATGCGTGGAGTCGGGTAACATATTTTGCATTTACATGTTGTGAATCTTATTTTTATAAAAATGAAATTTTTCTGGAAAATATTACAACAAAGAAAGATTTGAACAAATCTGAGCCTAGACAAACATGATAGCCGTACTCTTCGTTGCAAGGGCTATGAAGGAAACTTTCCTTTAAATATGCACGTGTATTCACCTATTTGCCATCAGGATAAACGCTTGAAAGGTCTTGAAATTAGTCAGTAAGGCTGCGTAACGTTCTTGGAAAGACTTCGTAGAGGTTATCGGAAAGTCTTCCTGAGGTTGTCAGAACTGTCCAGCTAAAAAAAAGGTTTTAAATTAGAGGCCTTCTTATGAAACACGGTCTTGTACGGAGTCTCACACTTCCAATAGAGTCATTACTGTAACTTCATCAGTTGATTTAATTTCATTGATTTCAACAACAGTTTCATACAATTAAATGGGTTCTAAAGCACAATTCTTACCCTTTTACAGTGCTCGGTGTCCTGCGGAACTGGGAGAAGAAAGCGCATTGTTTACTGCAGCGGAGGAAGAAACAAATGTGACAAGGGAAGCAAACCAGAGGCGATAACATCCTGTAACCTTAGCAAGTGTCCTGAGTGGAAAGTCGGTGACTGGAACCAGGTAAATGCAGAGAAAGAAATTAGTTCTTAGAAACATGCTTGTTCTTTGGGGTGAATTCGAAGTGCCCTCTATAGTCGTCGGAATAACTCCGTAGTTCTTCGGAACTGCCGTTGATGTCAAAAACAAAATGATGATATAGGAACCTAACTTAATTTTATTCAAAGCAAAGGAAAACTTTAAAGTGCTTTTCGATTGAGTGTTAACATTGTAGGGCAATTTTTCATTCAGAGCCAAAAGTAATGTGAAATTGCATTTTTTTTTTTCGCAATGTGACTGGTCCAGATAACTCGCGCCATCCCCTCAACCAACAAGATTTAAAACTACAACCAATCGGCATCCACATTTTCCCGCGCTTAAGAAATTTAATTGTCTATACTTAGAATTCTGATTGGCTCCTGGTGATATTTTCTGTCTTCTTATTGGCTTGATTACTCTGTCCTTGGTTTACGACTGTCAATCGAAAAGCGGTCTAAAATCAAAACCAATATACTAACAATGGCTCATTAGCACTAAGTTGCAAATGACAATCCGAAGTAAAAACATGTAACCGCGCTCTGGCGAGGGAAATCGCGGGAAGGCAGGTCACCATCGGTTTGAGTTCTGTATCTGATTGGTTGGGAAGGCGGTACAAGGTTTCTAAACCAACTAGAGAGCGTAGTAAAGCTAATGCAACAAATGCAATCTCAGATTTCTTTCCTCGATAAATTCAAAATTTCTTCCAAATGTCACAGTGTTCAGTGTCTTGCGGAACTGGAATAAAAGAACGTTCAGTTGAATGCAGTGGAGGAAGAGGCAAGTGTGATGCAAGAATTGAACCCGAAGCCAAGACGAGCTGCAACCTTGGCACTTGTCCTGAATGGAAATTTGGTCCGTGGAGTAAGGTAAACACCTGGGTCCTTTTGGCATTTATGAGCATATTACTTGCTTAGAAACAGAGAATCTTAGAGGGGGAGGGGAGGTAGAGGAAACATAGCGCGAGGGTTATTCGAAATAGACAATTTTGAAGGAGTCTTTCTTAATTGTTTCACGTCAATTTGTTTTCCTTCAAGAAAATAACAAAATGTTCTCTGTCCTGATTTGTAGTGTTCGGTGTCATGTGGAAATGGCAAAATAGAGCGCACTGTTGAGTGTTCAGGAGGAAGAAACAATTGTGACGTTGAAACTAAACCACAGGCCATAGCCAGCTGTAATATTGGCTCCTGTCCTGTGTGGATCACTGGCGAATGGACCCAGGTGAGATGAATATAGTTAATGTCAATTAGAAGAAACCTGCAATGCAAGATTCTAGGGTGAAAATAGTCCTGAACAGAAACTGCGTTACAACTGATCCATTGGAAACTGAAACAGGATTCATGAACATGTCTTTGAATTGATCCCATGGAATTCGGCATTCTTCGGACATGTTCGCTAAAGCCATGTATGCGTGATGTTTTCGGGTGTTTGCAGGGGAGGGGTAGAGGGTGGCGTTGATAAAATGGCTCGTGAAAGTTGAAAATATTTCTATTACATCCCGATGTAATTATACGCGGTAAGGTTGTCTTGGTTTGCATTCTTTATCGTTTTTCTCGTCTTGCAGTGCTCTGTCACCTGTGGAGATGGCAACAGAAGGCGATCCGTGTCATGTAGTGGAGGATTAAGTAAGTGCAACCCTAAGAACAAACCAGAAGCTGTTTCTCATTGTAACCTTGGAGCTTGTCCTGAATGGAGAACGAGCCAATGGAGTAAGGTAAGCACTTTCTTCTACTCATCTGTTTCTAGTTTAGATTCATAACTGATTAATCCATTACACCCTAATATCAATAGAGAAATATGTTTTTTTCGTCTTGTCACGAGCGTGGGACAAAGAAAAAATTCTGAGTCCCCATGAGAAATTGAACCTCAGACCTTCGGATTCCGCGCTCCGATGCTCTAACCACTGAGCCATAGAGACTCTACGGTGAGCAAGGTCTATTACGAAGTTCATATGAATTGTTTCCTTCATACTGCTAGGATCAACAATGTCGATAGCGTAATGTTTGTAGGTAGAAATAAGAGAGATGGTAAGTTTTGAGCTCGGTAAAAAAATAGAGAAAGATGTTTTTGAATTGGTAAACTAATATTAGTTTGCAAGTTCTTCATACTGTTCTCTATACGTCTACTATGGTACTTACATAGAGAATTTGCCTAATAATCAAGAGCTTCTTTAGTTCGCAATCATTACCTCTGTTCTCACGACCTTAATATTTGATCCAGGGGTGATATTGTTGTGAGAAACTGAATACTCATCACTCTCAGGGGTTAAAGGGTAAAGATTGTATCATAATAAAGGCACCTTGACTGAGTGCCAAAGAACCAAGAGGATAAAAATAATCAATCAGAATAAATTAACTGCTATAAGGAACCAACTAGAATTTTAATAACCTTATGTCAACGGCTTCCAAGCGAGAAACTACATGCTACGGAGTCGCGACTGTTCTAAAGCTTGGATCTGATTGGTTGAGAGGGTGGCGCGGGTTTTCTAAACCAATGAAATAATGCAACACAATTACTTGAAATTACGCTCACAGAGATTACTATTATTAGTGTTCAGTTACTTGTGGGAGTGGCCGTAAACAGCGCACGGTCCAATGCAGCAGATTGGATGTAACTTGTGATCCAAGCAAGAAACCAATAACAACGATGGACTGTGATCTTGCTGAATGTCCAAAATGGCGGACAGGCCAATGGAGTGGGGTTAGCGACCTTTCCATTCTTATTCATGCCACGTGGACCTGATATATGGCCTGTTTTGAAATTTTCAATAAGCTTTGTGAATGTATTTTGAGCTGCATCTTTCTTTCCCCCCACCCCCCTTTCCTTTGGTAGGTTTTTTTTCGCGACGCATGTGATCTGATCAATTGGCCAATCGTATTAAGAGATCTAAAACTTGACATTGAGGTCGACGGGGAAATTTCCGTGGACACTTGCGTAGTTCGGTTCATTTTATGAGATTTTTGTATTACAAATTTGTCGCTTAATTTTCATTTGGAGTTTAACAAAGGATCTATGGGCAACCAAATGTGGCGTTTAACACGAAATCATAGCTAGCTTGGGTTTCAGTGCACAAAACGGACTCAAACTAATTCTTTTCCGCTGAGTAAGAGAAATATACGACTTCTTAACAGAGGTACTCTTGACTTGCAGTGTTCCGTCACCTGTGGAGATGGGAACAAAAAGCGTTCCGTGTCATGCAGTGGAGGAAGGAATAAATGTGATTCCAGCAGCAAACCGGAAGCTGTTTCTCGTTGTAACCTTGGAGCTTGTCCTGAATGGTTAGCAGCTGAATGGAGCCGGGTAGGGCGACTGTCTTTTTAAACCCAATTCATTCGCTTATTATCGAAATGCGCTGACAACAGGTGTCGAAAAGCAACCAATCAGAGCGGAGTATAATGCTTCGTAAGGTGACGGGCATGCAGTTGACTATTGCCTAAGACTGGCAGCATGCAATCGAAACGTCGTTATCTAAATCGGTAGTGAATACATTATGAGAAGAAAAAGATTATACTTTTTAATTAGATTCGCATGAAGTTTGTAATTGCTAGTAAACTTAACCCTTTGCAACATTTTATATAGTGGTTGGAGAATTCTGAGAATGATTTAGCCACTTTTAAGTGCACGCGCTTGCTGTTGAATTGTTAATCAAGTAATTAAAGAGTTATGACTCCATTCAACAGCCAGAAACTGTGTTCGTTCGACATAAATCTAGAACTCTTTAACCTTTTAATTTAGCAAAATGAGATCTGTCCCTTAACCCAGCGATGGTTAATGAAATGAGCTCTCCATTAACTCATAAAATTCATGCATTTTGGTGAGTTTCAGTGCGTTGTTAGTGCTCTCGCATCGGCACGGCATTGTTAATCGCACGAAGTTTGAATGCTTGCAAATCGGGACCAATAAAGTGATTTTAACGATCTATTTCTAGTGCTCAGTTTCTTGTGGAAGCGGTTTCATACGGCGTATGGTTAAATGCAGCAGATCGGACGTCGCATGTGAATCAAGAAGGAAACCAGCAACAACAGAGAGATGCATTCTAGATGAATGTCCTAAATGGCAGACGGGGGACTGGGGTCAGGTAAGTGATTCAGTATGGTGTGGGCTTGTTTCACAATGACTGTAACTTTACCCGGGATGTCTCACACTCGGGCTGTGTTACTGGATGACGAATAATTTTACCCTGGATGTCTAAGACCTAGGCCGGGCCCAAGGAGTGGACTTCAGCCAGTGTCATTGTAATTTTACCCTTGATATCTCAATCTTAGGTCGGGTTCCCCGCTGTGCACTTGTGTTTGCGTGTTGCTGTGATTTTACCTAGGATCTCCTTCCTAGGAATTGCCCTCAGGCGCACACTTGCGTGCAGACCTTGCTATCATTCTTTGGCGTAAATGCATAGAATTGCATGGCATGTACCCTTGAGTTATCCGTGTTCCCATTTTATCATTTTTGAACCAGAGTTAATGGCTCCAACTCACATCAGTTGTCTTGGACTAAAAAAATGGTTGGTCATTCCCTTCATCTTTTGCTTTGTAGTGTTCAGTAACTTGTGGCGAAGGACGTAAACAGCGCAATGTCAGGTGTAGCGCGGGACTAAACAAATGCAATCCTAGAACCAGACCACAGACCTCTATCAGTTGCAACCCTGGTGTTTGTCCACAATGGAGAGTGGCAGAATGGTCACAGGTAAGTCCTCTGACTACTCACAATGGCAGATCCACCTTTTTAAACCTGTGGGGTATTTATACCACATGTCTGACACCAAAAACTGTTGTAATGGTCACGAGAGTGAAGGAAATGATCACCAACTAAAGACCTTCTTGTCTTGTCAGCGCCTTGGGAAATATGTAGAGAAGGGTATGGAAAATATGTGTACTTATGTTAAGGGTTAATGAGACTTGACCTAACTTATTAACCTAACCTAGTTAAATTTATTTCCGGACGTACCGATCGATTCCCCCAGCTAGAAGAGAAAAAAAAAAGCAGGAGAATACTCCCTTGAAATGAATGTGGATATACCAAAATTAAATCTCTGATAACTTTGCTGTCATTCTTGCCAGTCGTTGTCCTTTAATTCACGTTTTGTTACTTATTTTATCGTCACTTATTTACAAAAAATGAATGTCGCATTTAGATTTTGATAGACTGGCCTACCCGCCTGGTCTAACTTTAGTAAGCTTTCCGCGGCCAGGAGAATTTACTATAGAATTGCAAAAAGGTTAAAGTAAGGATTTTTGTTGCAGTTGTTTTCGTAGTTGTGAATTAATGTTTTTCTTCGTTATTGTAGTGTTCGTCCTCTTGTGGCGAGGGATTCAAAGAGCGGGTGGTCGAATGTGATGGGGGACCAAATACTTGCGACCCTGGGGCCAAACCGACAAACAGAGCCCGTTGTAACTTGGGACAGTGCCCACACTGGAAAACAGGAGAATGGTCTAAGGTACTGTGGTAATGTTTATTACAGCTCTATTGTAATCAACCATCGTCGATGTGATTGATTCAGTGGTAGTTGCGCCTCTTCGAGGAACCTCAATTTTGCCTTTCGCTTTCTTAAAGGGAAACTTAAGTACAGAGATACTGATTTTTGATTTGAATAAGCTGTTATTATAGACCCTTTTAAAACACCTTTACCGTTGCTACTTTGGGAAGGTGTTGCACAACCGCCTCCAAAATATGTGCCATCTTAACTGAACTATCTTTTTCGACTTGTTTGGCAGTGCTCGGTGACTTGTGAAGACGGATATAAACAAAGACTGATAGAATGCCTCAGCGGAGTGAAGGCGACTTGTGACGAAAGAACCAAACCAGAGTCGATAATTCCATGTAAGCTTGGGCCCTGTCCAAGATGGAACACGGGAAGATGGACACCGGTAAGTTGTCTCTGAACTCATTTTGCGATTTCACGTCCTTCATTGGAGCGCTTTTCGATCGATGGTTCTATACTCTCACACTTGTTCGTTTGCCTTCCAGAAAAAAGTCATAAAAAATGTGTTATTATTCCATTCCCATTCCAAAACGATAATTGTTGTATAACATCAGAAATTTAATGTTTTTACGAAGGGCGTGCCGTTTTTTTACTTTAATTAAAGGTTACCATTGTATCAATTCAACCTCTGCGAAACACCCATAATTCAAGCTTTATGTGATTGCAACACAAAAACTACTCTGGTGGCCCCCATTTTTTTAAAGCAATTAGCGTATTCAAGATTCATTTTACTTCAAAGTTTAAAGAGGATCTGTAGTATTGATGCGATAATCGAAAGTGGCTCAAGAGAGAGTTACTATTGATTAAAGAACTGTTTATTTACATATTTAAAGAAACGACCTGAGAAACTTAATAATGTGCTTGATCTTTTTGCAGTGTTCTCGCACATGTGGGGAAGGACTAAGGCTACGATATGTAGGCTGTTTTTCTATAAAATACTCCCGTGTATTGAACAACGAGTCTGCGTGTGACATGACTTTGAGGCCTCCTTCAGCCGAAGCCTGCAAGATCAGAGAATGCGCTGATTGGCATACGGGAGACTGGGGGGAGGTAAGAGTCACCATTACGGAGCTCCATACCTAAGAAAATATGGTGATAAAGAAGAACTAGTACATGTTTGATTTTCACAATGCCAAAGGTAAAAATCAAAATGAAAACCATAAACCATACCGTTGAATTATTTCTCAGTAAAGATGGAGCTTGCATATAAATCGTTCCAGGTTTTAGGCAGGGACTAGAAAGTTTCGATGACGTTTGGCAGTATGACAAACAGGAGCTTTCATCGGAATACTCACATATTGAGTTTTCACCTAGACACTTAAAAATTGAAGCCGTCTTGTGCAAAATAATGAACAATGCCTTCATCGATCATGATTATTGGAAAGTACTTCCTATGAGTCACTTCTTTGACAAACGAGGAATTTTTAATTGTAATTTTGCAGTGTTCTCGCAAATGTGGTAACGGAATCAGGAAAAGAAACGTTGAATGTAAATCAACGGAACAACAGCGCACACTTGAGGACTCTGCTTGTGCACTTAAGCCGAAGCCTTTCGTCCAAGAAGACTGCAAACTGAGGGAATGTCACCCGGATGCCAAATGGCGTAAAAGCCTTTGGGGCAAGGTATGAGAACATCCTTCGTGATCTTAGGGGAGGTTTAACCTGACTGTCAGGAGTAATTGAATACGAATGCTTTGCTTCTCTCATGGGTGAATCAAGAATACCCGGGGTAGCCTTTCAACCAATCACTCGCAAACTAGAACCAATTATGACTTAGTTAATTACGTTTTCCCACCCTTATGGATGTTTGCTTACTGGTGTCATAAATAGACTGCCTCCTGGTGATGTATGTTTTGTTTTCCAAATAGCCGTAACGCCCCATTATGGATTCTCTTATAAGAGACAGTAATAAGTTAAGTAGCCTCACCATTCTTTTGTCTTTCTTCTTTGATTTTCATTAGTGCTCAGTCTACTGTGGAATCGGTGACAAAACACGTGATGTGTGGTGTGGTACTAAAAACGGGGAAAAAATCGCGGAGGAGTTATGCGCGGACGAACATAAACCTCGAACACGCAGATCTTGTAACAAGCGACGACGCTGCGGTGAATGGGAGAGTGGACTGTGGAGCGAGGTAGCTACGCTCCTTTTGACAACTTCAATTTATATACTTAAGAGAGCAATTCAGTTTCCTCTCAATCCAGTGGTGCCCGATTAATTTCGACCGGAATGCCTGAACAATAATGTGCGCGCGAGAATCAGAGCGAGTTTGCATGTCTGCTGGTCTCGGTGATTCGTTCTTTATCGTGCGCGTGTACCTTACGCCAACTTATCGCGAGTGTGTGGCGGAGACCAATTGGTTAGGTCTCTAAAGAGTGCAGACCGCAATTACAATTTTCATAAATATTATTTTACATTTATTCTTACAGTGTTCAAAAACGTGCGGAGAGGGTATAAGAACACGTTACATCAGATGTCATCACCAGCTGGAGTACAAAGGAAACATGTTCTGTGATGAAGAGAGGCGGCCAACAGAAAAACAGCCTTGTAACAAAGGGGCATGTCTTCCTACGTTGTACCGCTGGCAGATTTCCGGTTGGAGTCGGGTATGAAATGTTACCACTTCAGTATCATCACGCCAACATTTCAACAGCCACACACTGGGACTTTAAACTTAGAAGCTCGTTGTACAGCGTGATCTATTCAAGTTAACAGTTCTACATGAAAGTACAGCTCAGGAGCTTTCATTTCAATACCCACTCACGAGAACTCCATTCCCAGACGCACCCTTTTTATAGCTAAAAACAATATCGATTGAAATGTTATCTGGCCAATAGTCCAAGTTGGATTCAGAGCCATGCGGAATATCCTTGTTAGGAACATAGCATTCAGCGGAGAGTATCCCTGTTTCCCTTATCATTTGAAAAAGGAAACTACATGAATGCCCGAAAATAGCTGTCTGTAAATAGGTTATGCGCGCCTATTTGGACATCTGTATGACGCCTTCCTTTGTTTCTACTTGTAGTGTTCTACTTCGTGTGGGTACGGGAAAAAGTATCGTAATACTTGGTGCGTTGACTTAGCGGGAAGGCAAGTTAGTAGTGAACGATGCAGTGCCGCAGAAAAACCTGAAACTGTTTCCTACTGCTTCGAAACGAACTGTCCACCCGAATGGAAAGCCGGAGATTGGTCGGAGGTAAATTATATACTCGCTGAATTACAACCATTTCTGTTGTAGGGATTCGCGTGGCCTAATGCATGGGCTCATAATGTCTTGTTCTTTAGCAAGACAATTGACTCTCGAAATATTAGGGGTTTAGCCTGCGATAGGCTGGCATGCCACTCAGGGGAAATAGCAAAACTTGTTGTCGCTAAAGAAATCAGGATGAACTCTGGTGGTTCGAGTCATTTTACTTGTACAGACGTTATCACTTGCTTTTGCTTCATGGCCATTGGCATGTATAAACGGCATGGCACATCTTCATCGGAAGAAATTTAATAGCATTTTATAGTTGTGGTTTTTCACATTAAATATCAAGGCACTAAAGCCATGTGTTCTTGTGCCTGCAGTGCTCCCAAACGTGTGGACGCGGTCACCAGACCAGAAAAGTGGGTTGTGTTGCAAAATATGGTAGAACCCAGTCCTTAGATATGCAATGTGACGCACAGAAAAGACCTGTTTCATGGCGATCTTGTAACTTGGGACGTTGTAACTCTCGGTTCTGGAGTGTGGGATCGTGGCATAACGTAAGTAAATTTATGTGTAACTTTACGTAAGGGAGTGGAGACGCATTAGACTGATAGCTCTTCGCACTTGTCTCTAACTCGAGAATCTATCTCTATGGCATCGGAAAATTTGTCTCTTAACATAGAGTAGCCCATCATAAAACTTAGAACCCTGTCTTTATTTTCTTGTAGTGCAACGTCAGTTGTGGCCGCGGTAACACGAGCAGAACTGTTATTTGTTTGTCAAGAGACGGATCTCCACTCAGGGATTCAAACTGTTTATCGCCTACAACACCCAAACCAGAAACCACTCGGTCATGTTCTATGAAAGCTTGTAAGTAACCAGAGTTTCTTTCCGCGGCACTCTGTCTACAAATCGGATGCAAATCTGAAACCAGTCACTTTCATTTTACCGCGCTTCAGACAGATGGAATGTGTTTAAGTTTCGTTGTTTTTGGTCCCTTACGATGGTTAGCTTTGATCTAAGCAGATATGTTTTCCTTTGATGTGGCTTTCAGATCAGGGACTTCAATTCAAGCAGGTTTCTAGCTACTGCCGCCTATGAGGCCTCTTGACGCTGTCTGTTTAGATACTACTTGTGAAAGAGCTCTAATTTCCAACTTAATGTTAAATTTAACAGGTCCACCAGCGAGCTGTAAGGATCTTCAGTTAAATGCTGGATTACAAGTGGATGGTGAACAAACTTTGACTGTCCAAGGAAAGGAACTTCAAGTAAGTCACCGAGCGCAAATTCTAATGCTCTGTTGAAAAATGTCAGACTGGATCAGGGAAAAATAGAGTTATAAAAAAGAGCGCTTGTCAAATGAGTAAAGAAGAACAAAAAGCCAAGGGAAAGTCAAACGCCAAGCCAGTAAAAGGAAAAAGTTACAAAGAGTCCATAAGAGCTCACAGATAAACTGTCCGAAGCGCTCACGACGAGCTCACGAAGAGCTTATAGGTAAGCTGACCGAAGTTGTCACAAAGAGCTCACGAAGATCTCACGAGGAAACTGCCCGAAGCGCCGGGAAATCCGTGTGACGACCAAGCCAACTAAACAAAAACTAATGCAATTCCAGTTTACTCAGAAACGAGATAATTTGATTTTATCAACTGAGTTGATAATGCAAATTGTCCACCGTAGATAGTTTCTAAAACTGACGTTTCTCGCGTTGTTCCTTCGTCGGAACGAAAGAGCTAACCGACGAAGGGACGAAGCGACGAAGGGCTATCGCTCTAAACGTCAGCGTTAGAAACTCTTTACGGTGACCAATTTGGATTATCAACTCACCTACCCTAACCCTACCCCCTTTCCCCATCGACGTATCACCACAGTTTCTTTACGAACTACCCCTTTTAATAGCTGTAACAGATGGTTGTATACCTTCGTACCAACTGGAGTGCAAAATCCTCGCTGAGACTGCAGTAAACAATGTTTCTATACCTTTTTGATAAAGCTTGTTGCATTTTTGTTGCTGAAATTATCAAGCATGGACCTCATACAGCCCGAATTTAGGTTGTTAAGGTTTGAGACATACGATAAGTTACCTTATTCTATCAAAATTCAAGCATTCTTCGTGATTGATATGGTGAATTGATTTGATTTCCTGCTGTTTTTTTCAGGTGTATTGCCATGCAATGATGTCAAAAGAACCTAAAGAGTATATTACACTTAAAACAGGACATTCTGATAACTTCGCTGAAATCTATCCAAAAAGGTAACGCCATCTAATCTAAAGGGATTTATTAGTTTTTGACTCGTATATTAGTGCGGCAAGTCTATTGAACCTAAATGGAAAGGTGTAAATCGCCTATGTTTGTCTCAATTCAGAAATTAATGGGGAAACTCTGAGAAATAATAGAAGCCGTCGTACTATTAAATCTTAATTGATTAGTAGGAAATTTTTGATTTCGTCTGGACTGTTTTGTGCTTGTAGAATAAAGCTCAAGCCCCGCCTATTTTGTGTGCCGTTTACATGGGCTATTTTTTGCCAAAAATTGACTGTCATGCAGTAGTAAGTTGTCAAATACTGAGATAAAATAGTTTTTGGCTGGTATACCGCGGCGTTTCGTCCTTGCCAAGAAAATCATCAAACAATTTTCCGAATTTTCAAACAAATTCGGCAAGTGTCTTGCTGAAAGTCCCTTTGCAAAGTTCAAGATGTTGGCAGTCCAGCCCTCTATGAGCAAATGATTCTGAATCACATTTTCAAGGGATATTTTTATATAATAAACCATTTTCAAAAACTTCTGTATTATTCTGCCTGTAAAAAGTCAGCCACGAGATTTATTTTAAAACAAAGGTGCGTGCAGTATCGGTCAAGACTTAATGTAACGGTTTCTTCTGCAGGCTACGTGATCCCAGGAAGTGTCCAGCAAATGGCTCTCATATTGATGCCTGCGATTGTGAAGATGAAGATTTCAAACTATCTGGAGGTTCCTACTTCTACAAGCTTAGAGTAGACTTGTCTGCCATGAAGATTATATGTAAGTGACATCAAGTTCCCATGTATTTTAAGAGGTAATAGGCAACGTCGCCCCAAGTTTTGTCGACCCGAAGTATGGTCGCGTCGCCACCAAAGTGAAGTTGCTTCGCCTCCAACTACCATCTAGGGACCTGCTCTTTACATCATGTTAATATTAGGAACTAGAGAAAATTGGAATACTGATACTTAATCATGTACGTGACTACAAAATTTTGCAAGAACCAAACGTAACTTCCCATAAAATTTTTCATATGTTTTGGAATTCTATGGAGTTTGAAAACAAGAAAGGATGAACATAATCTTTCTGATCTGTTTTAAAGTACTACGCTCATATTCCAAAACATTTTGGTGGTTTCTCGTCTCTAACAGCGTTTTTATTGTTATTATTTGATCTTAACATTAGCGGAAGACAAGCAATTTACAGTAAAAAGAGGTTTAAATCCACCGTCGTATGGCACAGCAGGAGACTGTTATAGCGCTCAAGGAAATTGTCCACAGGTGGGAAAAACGGAAGTGGACCTAAAACACATGAAAGTTAATACTCGTGGTTATAAGATGAGAAATTTTTGACTATGTAATGAGAAAGCTTACGTTAAGCGACAATAATAAGAGCAATCACATAGTTTGATCGGTAGCCTGCGAGCAGAGGCCTTCATGATTAGCGCTGCAAGACGACCGTTTCTCCGCCCGGAGAGATTTGAGACGAGTCGGGGAGAGGTTTGCAGTGGGCCAGGCACTACATTATCAGCTCCAGACCCCTTATAGTACTCTCGCCGGCTCACGGTTATAATGAAGGCCTGCTAGCAGGTTAGCTGATGCAAGTGTCACAAGGAGCCAATGAGAACTCATAGCAAATACATGCAAACATTCTTGAACGCGCCGCGAAAACTGGGAAAACCAAACTGTGATTGGCTCACGTTTGGCATCTGATTGGTTGGGGAACTAGCGCTAGTTCCTTAGACAAATCAAAACTGTAACAAAATTCGCTGACTTTTGACTGACGAATAATCAAAGAATCTTCTTCTTATCGTTATCGAATCATTAACTTTAATTTTTTGATATTTTGCAGGGTCGTTTTAGTATTAATTTAGAAGGCACTGGTATTAGATTGACTTCTAAAGTGATGTGGGGTTCAACTGGCAAGGCATACTCGCAAATTATATACAGATACCGGGTGAGTATATTTAACAAACAGCCTCAACGTCTCTGTTTGCCTTTTCAGTTGTAGATCAAAAATGGCGTCAAAATGCGCTAAGTAAAAAACAGTGCCTCACGAGCCGCAGGCGAGATTGTCGTCGATATCACACAAAATCCTTTCCGCTCTTTTCCAATCGAGTTCTACATTCTTGTGAAAGATTTTCGCCAAGAACTTGGTTTCTTTTCCTTGTACCTCTTTTAATCTCTAGGAACTTGTTCATTTCTTTTTCACGAAGCTACTCAGTGACTGCAGTATATGTGTTCAATCGTGGTATTATTTTCTGTTGAACAGGAAGCTGAAGGACTTCGTGTTCGAGGTAAATGCGGCGGGCGCTGTGGAACTTGTAGCCATGAAGATTATGGAGGGTTAACGATAGAACTGTCCGAAGGTAAGAGGAAAAGGCCATTTCTTTGATGCATACTAAACAAATCCAAATGATCGAAAATGGATTCTTGATGTTTATGTCAATCCCAGACCCTGCCGACGCACGTTTCCCTTTGATTCCGCAATTTGGAATGCTATTGTGATTAAGCAACTGTGCGGCTCGACCTGAGCTCTCGCATGCTCGTCCCCAGGCTTCAAATGAGCAAACTATCCCACAATTCCTGCCTAATTGCGCTCTCAGTACTCCAGAATCAGAGTCCTCAGAAACTTGTTCATAGTTTTGATTTGATAAAGGTTACACACGGTACCTTTTCTTTTTCAGATGGAGATGGAGGTTGAAAATCAGTTCTAGTTTTTAGAAATTTGTTTCATTAGATGTAAATATTTCCAAGCGTAGGAGTTTTAAATTGGAGTTCTTCAGATGCTCATTTAACATATCAATTTATTTTAAAATTCGACTACTCACAGCGGCCTTTGAGTGTCAAGATTTTATTGATGTCACGAAAATATGATTTTAATGAATGTCCCATTTCCAACTGTGTCACGTTACCTGAAAGCTGTGACGCATAATAGAGGGCCATTCTCAAAAATTTAACGCGTGACATCTGGATATCACGCAAGATTGAATAGTACGTTTAAGAATTCGTTAACAGCAGGCTTGAGAGTAACCTTTTTGAGAGAGCTATTTAGGAAGATGTATTAACTATTTGAATATAACATTTAAGCTTTTTAGATAGGGTTTTGTGAGAATAGATTTTTCACTATATATATTAAATTATTTTCTTACTTGATAGAGGACTTTAAATTTCGAAAAAAACGTTTAATCCCTATTGTGCTTGAAAAATTGTTTTAAGAGCGGAGATTCTTTTATTCTTTGATAAAGAACGAAATCCAGACACTGCCTCTCAAAATAGAATTTGAACATTACAGCTCTCTTAAGCTCCAAAGATCTTCTTTCGGTGAAGAGATTCAGTATAATTAAATTATTAATTCCAGTCCTATATTTTTTTCTTTGGAAAATCAATTACATTTTAATCGATTGGCAGACCGTTGTGGATGATAAATATATATTCGGAAATCGGATGCCTTTACGTCGAAACTCAGATATTGCAGGCGACAAGGTATGTTTGGTTTATTTAAAAGATTTCCTCTTCCACTAACGACAGACGCGGCGAGTATCTATTTCTTGCAGGAAAAGAAACATTTTTAAATAGATACAATTAGCAGATTTGTCGTTATGGTGAAATCAGATGAATGTCAGTCACGTCAGTATCTTAGCAACTACACACCTATCCCTGGGTTAGGGGTTGTTTTGTTTTGTTTTGTTTTTTTGAGGGGACGGGGGGCTGGGTGCGCAGTGCCCGGATACTGACATTTAAATCGGATCATAATCAAGTAAAATTTACGAAATTCTACTTCTTTAGTATAAAAGGGCTCTGTCAGCTTGGAAAATTAATTCGTGTATTTCATTAAGACAAACTTTACCAGGTTACCTCATCTTCAGTTCTATAGTTTGTTTTATTTTGTAAAATAATTTGGCACTTACATGATCCATATAAAGTAATGTAAATTTTTTAGCATCGGAGCCAATAGTAGTTTTTCGAGGTATGTTCATAGTTAGTAATAAGAGCATGAACCGTTTAGATTTTATTTTTCCACTGAAATATCGCAGAAGTTGTACAGATTTCAACTTAAAAGCTTATGAGCAGCATTTAAAAATTCTATATTTATTAAAGAGCAGATAAAGCAAATTTTTATTTTTTCGAAAATTGAATTAACTTTTAAGCAACTTGATCATATTAACGCAATCTACTTTAAATAATGAGTAATGATAGGAAATAACAAATTTAGATAAGTATGTTTCAACGTAGCTTCTTCGTTTGTCACGCAATGGTGTTGACATGCACGTTCGATCATTGCGTGACAAGCATGGCAACGGTACGGTTTTTGGAAGAAACGCACACGTTGTCACACAACCAAACACAAAAAGACAAAAGACAAAAATGTAGAGATTTATATATAGTTGAAGTTTATTTATTTTAACTAGCTTGCCCCGTTCAAGCGGCTGCTAGTATGCCTGTACAGATTTTAAAGATACCACTTATGAAAATAAATATGACAATAAATTTGCGGGCTTGATGTGTTTCCTCCCTCCCCCCCTCCCCCCTTGCTCTGGACATTTGTCCCCTCCCCTTCCCTCCCTACCCCAAAAAGCTTTCTCGGTAACAAAGTTTCACTTCCCACCCCAGAATCAGAATTACTGTTTCTATGGTTTTGGTCCATCTCTTGTAAATCACTTAAAAAATTTTAATCTTCTGGATATAAATTCCCCTTTCCAAGCTCCTAAAGCCCATGACGTACAAGGCCCCTTTCAATGTAAGTAGCCCCAAGTTGGCAAAGATGAGTATGGGTGTGTGTGTGTACTGTGAGAGGGGAAGACATTTTGGATCAATATCAGTATCTGGGCAACTGTCCACCTACCCCTCCCCTAACTCAACAATAGTCAATTGATAAAAAGTGAGGGGAGGGTTAGGTGGGCAGTTGCCCAGATACTGATATTGATCCGAAATTTTTATCAACAGGAATCCTATTTAAGGGGGCTACTTACACTGAGAAGGGATAAAATACCATTTTCAGGAAAGATTTAACCTTTATATTTTAAATTCCAGACTCAAACCTGCGAGTATCTTTTTATAAGGAAGGCAAGAGGAGGCTTACATAACTCGAATCCCGAAACAGCGAAACATCCCTTAATCATCATGAATTACAGCTCTTTGTTGTCCTTGCATCTCTTGAGGTCGAATTGTAGCAAGTTATCAGGGCTGTCATTTAGTGCGGGGTACTCAGATCAGTTCACTTAGCGATTCTTAGGGGGGGTAGGGGGGGCAAGAACCCTCTTTCTCTTCTAAATCTAATTTTTAACAAAATGTTTAACAGCATATCAGTCCCAGCATACCATTTGCCTTTAAAATACAGTCCCCACAGTCCAATTCGCCTGGAAATCTTCCTTGTCTGAGAAATGAACTAAGGTGTTTAACAACTGCCTCTTTCTCTTCTTCTTTCCATAAACATGGGCGACTGACTCTGCAAAGCAAAAGCAAAAATAAGCTTAAAAACTCCTTTGAAAACACTTTCTCTACTTACTCTTTGACTTTGGCGATGCCCGGTTTTTATTTTCCAAGTACGGATTTTTGCTGCACCGCTGCCTTTTGGGGGAGGGTTTGACTTCTACTTAGCTGCGACAGACTGATACCAACTATTTAGTAATAGATACACCTTTTAATTAAGGAATTCTTCGGTGATAGTCAACCGTTCCTCTGACAAAGATTGCCGTTAACTCAATAAATCAAAACATTTACACCGTTATTTAAAATCTTCCTATCTTCATGCCAGAGGCGACAACCTACAAATTAAACCATTTACTCTTACCCTACATTCTGTTAAGCTAAATTTCGACCAGAATTTTTTCGTATTTCAGGCTATGTTCGGATGTCAGTCTTCACTAATTGACCATTTTTCGTTTCTTTCTTCCGAGAGTTTAAACCACGAGGAACCATAAAATGCAAATGAGCTGAAAGATTAATTTGCACGTGTAAATTCTGCCTCGCACTTCAAGCTTGGAACGAATTTGGCATAAATTTGCCAAGCATAGTTTCTTAAAATTTTTGTCGAAGGCTTTTCTTCGTTGATCTTTCAAATAATACCCACCAGATTTTGAAGGTACTTTAAGCAGAGGGGAAAGCACTTCAGAAAAAAAGCTTGGAGAAAGCAGGGGAAAGTCTTTAGATTACGTGGACTTAATTCACACCTCCGGCAAGCATTGTCAAGCTAAATGTACCCATAAAATACATTGTACTCCATCTCCGAACCAACCTAAAAAAGGGATAGGGCCGTAAACGGATTAACTTCCCATTAAAGTAAATCATAAATGGAACACGCCGTAAACGAACGTTACAATATCACTGGTCACTTGCGAAGCGACGCAAATCCGATGTCATTTCGAATTACCATCGTTACCTATTGGAAATGTTTCTTAGTAACTTCATTGATGAGAAATGGGTGTTAGTTGTGGACTTTCCATTACATAAACCGTTATGGGCTTAATGTCTGTTAATGGAGAATCTGAGAGACGATGATTGGGAGAAACACGAAATCTCGTTTTCATTTAAATATTTTTTTCATATACCTCATTGGCGCATCGTTGCCATAGAATAAAAGCAAAACTATATACCCAGACCAAAATTAAATATTACATATCATAAGCATATGATATTAGCACCCAAATATTTTTCTTTTTTTTTCATTTTTTTTTTAGAATCGTTTGAAATTTCCAAACAACAACTCATACTCTCAAGAAGTTTGAAGAATTCTTGAGTGGGAATTCTGTGAAAATTGCTCGACTGTCGGGCACATGACCTGCGGTTGGATTTATATGCTAAGAAATTCCCATTTAGTTTTTCTCTTTCTGATTTCCTTTTTCTAGAACGTTATTGCAAATAGGAATATCCGCACACATCCCAAATCCCTGTGTAAAACACCACCTAAACCCCATTAATGTAAAATCCCGGGGATTTTAAGGAATCCCGATGACTCCTGCAAGTTCCTAGTCATTCGATCGTCGCCAAAAAAAGTTAAATCTCTTCCTCCAATTTTTCCCTAACTCCAAATCACATTTTCTTTGACATACTTTTCACACTAACGACAAGTTCGAAAACTCTCCCACTGACAAAATTGTTGCAAATAGGTATATCAGCACACAGCCCAAACCCCTGAGTATAACACCACCTTAAAACCCCAGGGATTTCAAGGGATCACCATGACTCCTGTGAGTTCCCAGTCATTCGATCTTCGCCAAAAAAATAAAATCTCTTCTTCCAACTTTTTCTCTATTACAAATCATATTCTCTTGAAATACTTTTCACACTGACAATGAGTTCGAAAACCCTCCCATCGAATATAATCCGTTTCCTCGCAAAAGAACACAAGTTCTTGTACAGTAACAGTTTGAATTCACGTGTTCCAACAAATGCTCTCTTTAATATTCACCTTTAATGGGTACTTTGTCTAAAAATAAGTTTCAGTCAAATAAAACTTTATCAAAACCATAAACATTGTGGATCTATAACCGAACGCAAACTACGGCATATAAGAAACTTAACTTCAATCTCTTTTGTAAGAGATTCTACACCCTTCAAGTGAAGTAAACAAAATAGTTCAAAATTATAATGCAATGAACATCTAAAATACTCAAAATATATGTTAGATTCGACACGTAAAAAAAACACAAATAGTTGTTAAGTTGGCATTACAGGCACATTTCAGGTTCAAAAAAAAATTTAAAAAACTCTTTTCAGACGTCACCACAAATACGTGATCATTTTAACTTCACACGTCACCACAAACACGTGATCGTTTTAACTTCAGACGTCACAACAAATGCGAGATGATCACCAAATGGGAAAACAGTTCAAACGACGTCGTAATTGAATAACGTGTCACCGTGTTTTGATTTAAACCTGAAACCTGCCTGCCATCAGTATTCACTTGTAACAAACCAACTTCTCGTTTATACTTGTATTTTTTCCTTTGTTATTAACTGCTTTTAAGACACCCAGTAACACGTTTAATAATCCTCTGTTAGTCTCTATTCTTTTCTAGAGACACCAGGGTTTAGTGGCGTAACACAGATTTGTATGTCACTGTTTAACCCTTTAACACGCAAGATCTGGTTGTTAATTCTCCCTTCTAGCTGCAACACATTCTCTTGTAAATTAGTTACAAGAATTAGGTGTGGGATCAGAATAATAACTTACAGCAGATAAGTTTGAATATTTTCATTACCTGTTTCTGGATAATGAACGGATATTATGGGGAGAACTTACATGTTAATCTCTTGTTAAAGGATTAACCAGTAATTTTGACCTGTCAAAAATGCTAACTGTGCATTAAGCTTAAAAAGATGAGAAATCAAACTTTGCTCAGCTCTCAATCCTTAATTGATGCTATGAGTTTTTGGAAACATTAGGCTTTATATTCAGATATTTCCTTTTTGCAGCATAAGTATTCCTTACATTTGTCCCTCATATAATTTTCCCACAACATCTATATTAATACCTCAAACCCACCAATAAAATGATGAAGATTGCACTTCCCATAAAATAAACTTTTAAATGTTATGATTTGATGGAGTGTTCACCAAGCTTTACCTTCTTGATTACATAGACTTTATCTACGCTAACACAATTGTGATGTAAGCAAATGGATTACTTAAATACTACTTTAGAACTAGTGAACAAATCCTAACGAATGTCACTCTGTTAATATACCGCTTAGCATCATGTGGTAAGAACAAAAAAGTGGCACACGAAGTGCAGCCGAGTGTGTTCTTACCACATTTTGATGTCCTCTGCAATCTATTACTGAACAGACGCACGGCAACTTGGAATCTATTTGTTTTATATAATAAAGAATTAAAAAAAGTTTTAACAATGACCTCATCTATATGTCTGTCCTCCAATAGATCATGTGTGAGAACCAATCAGAATGCGTGCATAACTGAGCTTATTATATAATTTAAAACAGAACACAGTGTACAACAGATCACAGAAGACATCAGTGACACACTCAGCTATGCCATGTGTGCTATTTCTTTGTTCCTATCACATTTTGGCATCATCTATTTTCTGACACTGAACAGAAACACAGCAACATGGAATCAATTTGTCAAATGGTCCAGGCCAACTAAAACAAGCTAAAAAATTGTCCCCTTAGCAAAGTCTCAAGACGGCCGTATCATGACTAGAAATTTAGGTGTTAGACATATTTCAACTACCAACATACATGTAACTCTCTCTAAGTATAATTACATAGCCTTTCACATAATTTTATATATTCTGGTTTTTCAAACAATCAATTTGTCCCCAACAAGCTCCTTTTCCACTATGTTTGGTGAACTAGGGGACTTATGTAAATAAATCATGTAAACAATGACACAGGGAATTTAAATTCCTTAAATAAACTTTAGAGACAAGTCAGTCACACAGAATGGATCACTTAGAATAAAGCTTTGTACGATCTATAGTAAATAACGGCTAAATACAATTGAATAACCACAAATGTCAGCCCTCAAAACTAGCTTTTCACCATTAAAAGGCTGTTATAATTAATTTAATTTGTTGTGTGACAACTCAGTTTAAATATATGTCATGTACCATAATGTTATATTTAAGAAAATACTAAAATTAATTTTTATTAATAGCACAGTTTGCTCCCAGGAGTTACATTTGATTGCATAGTTTATTTGTCTAGTTGGAGTGGAAGGAAGGGCTGATGTTGGTAGGAGCAGTAGCAACTGACACTTCAACATCTCAGCAGAAGCTAACATTTCACTCAAGTGATGAAAAGTCATTCTGACCGCTGACTTCCACCAAGGTTGTCAAAATGCTAGTCACTATGACTAACAGCAGTGCTTTTCAGGATCACTTTCCTCTATGTGATCTGAACATGCAATCAGATTACATTAACCTTTGCAAAACAAATTTGGTTGAAAATTCACCAAAAGCTAAGAGTAATGAACTACTAAGCAGCTTACATGTATCTACTACATTTTCTCAATTAAAACTTTCCCTTCAATGAGAGTCTGATAGAATTTCTCTTAACAATATTTCAATACCACATCAAGCTCACAAGTGATGAGAATAAAGAAAAATACCAATTAGGGGATCATTTAATCCAAAACCAAATTCTCATCACAAAAAAATGTATTGTGGACAGTAAAGAGAATTAGTAATAAGATCTTGGGAGTGAAAGGTTTAAATATTTACAAAATACATTTAAGCCCTTCAATCCCAGGAGTGACCAATATGAAAAATCTCCTTACAACTTCAATACACTGTTCAGACAGAGAGAACATCACACTGGGGGATAACGCTCATTGAAAAACAAATTTTTCAGAGCTTAGAAATGTATGGCAGACAGTTCAAGTCCAATGAGTTGATATTTAAAGAGTTGAATGAATGAAGGTCCCCAGTTCATAAAAAGTTATTGCATATCATCCTACAATCTGTACATATAGATGTTGACACTTTTATACCATTGTTTCATGATTTATTAGCTCACCCTTCCCATCTGTTAGGCAAGCACCACGTTTGCGCATCTCTGTTTCATTTTCACCTGGGCAACATTTCTGCGCAGCACAATTGTCATCTTTCCCACACTCCAAGGCACACTGGCTGTCTGTTTCATTTTCCACAACAAACTCTGGTTGGATAGTTGTAGAGTGAATGCCTTCATTGTGAAAGAACCTCTTTATTTTGTTGGCAATGTTCATGTATTCATCTGGAGAACGGCAGGTTATATGGGCTGATGCTGAAAAAACAACAGATTGTCAATACTGTATACTTATCAACTGTGTGGGAGAGCTGGATCAGAAATATTTGGCAAATGGTCAAGACAAACAGTAACCCATGACTGGGAGCCAAATATTTACCATTTTTGCACAATCATTAACTCAGTGAAGAAAGATTTTACCAAATCTCTGGTGTTCCTTCTCTTTCCTCCTAGCCCCACTTACACCATAGCCTGTGGCCCTCATACAAGAATTTTTAAGGAAGTTTGAAATAAAAGCATGTGCAGGGCAATGTGGTCCATAAGATAAATCATGTAATATTTTAGGTCAATTTTGTGACATATCTTCACACCGAATGAAACTAAAAAAACATCTGTTTGGCAAAACAAAAATAAAAAAATTGAAGGACTCAAACAAAGAAGGAACATGGCTGGATATATATGCCCAAAGAATGACACACTACAAAAGACAAGCTTGATTCAAACTGTAAATTAACCATAAAACTTCAAGTGAAAAATATATGATAAGGTTATCATGGACAGTGACAGTTTTTTTTCCCCACCAAAATGTGAACCTATTAATTTTTGTCTGTGTAACAGAAATGTAAATGATGCATACTGTAATACTACACAGCCATTTGGCATGACATACATAACTGTCTTCTTACACTGTACAATTATGGGCATGGTGATTTACTGTTCTTTTGGTGTTTAATCAGCTAGCTGATGAGCAATCACATTCAAGAATGTTGTTATAATTTTGATTACCAGAAACATCTCTTGCCAAGTTTCACTGAAAAGTAGCAAAAAACTTACCAATAATCTTATTCCCAGCCAATTGCCAAACATGAAATTCATGCACACTCAGCACGCCTTCCACGTTGTCTAACAGTCGATCTTGTACCTCTTTGATCTTGATGTGTGTGGGAACAGTTTGAAGCAAGATCAGGGACGATTCACGCATCAGGGGGATGGATGTCTTCAGAATAAGTAGAACCATGATAATACTCATGCCTGGATCCACATAAATTGTCCATTTACCAGAGGCATACTTGATTATCAAAGCACTGATGATAACAATGACAGACCCCAAGGCATCACCAAGGACATGGAGGTATACACCGCGCATGTTAAGCTGAGAGCTAGACTTGACTTTCATTTGAGAAGTGTTTGATTTTGAAACAACTGTGTGGACCTTCCCATTTCCTTTTGACAAGAAAACTGCTAAAGGACAAACAAACAAAGAAAATGATTAGCCATTACTTTGTGATTAAGAAATGCAATAGCCGAGGAATAGTGCAAAGTAACAGAAAATTCTTATTGTCTGAATGAGAGCCAGCCTGCTAAATTTAAGCAGAGAACTCTCAAATCTCACATGGCCAATAAATACCACAAGCTCTGCCTCAAACCACATAAAACATTTATATTGCATGTTGATGCAGTCTGTGGTTTATCCCTGAATTAAAAATTAACGTATGGGTTTCAGACCTCTTCTTTAAACCATAAAAACTCTGAATTTTTTAACAAATTCTCCCTGTCAGCACCTTAGAAAATGTACAGAAGAGAGAATTGAGAAAATGCACTCTTACATTAAGTTGTTAAGAGTTGAAGGATTGAGGCTTTGTTCCACACACCCCATCACACAATTATTCTTTGTTATATCAGTGGGTCGAGAGGAGAGGAATGAATATGGAGAATGCCAGGAGAGATATGAAGTCCTCAATTTGTTATGTCAACTAAATTTTAGCTAGCAGATGGGTGAGACGATAGGAAAAAGGTTAAATAAAGATTCTGAACCAAAACAAAACGAAGGACAAAAGGACAAATGATTGTGTTATGGTGCCACACTAAATTTTTTCATGATAAGTCAGGATTCGAATAATCTGCTTGACCGGCTGGGTCAAAATAAAAACCTTGAGCTGGACATATACATGATAATGAAAGTTCAACATGTAGAGCTGAGTACATCGGATAAAGATACAATACCTAATCCGAGATATAAGACTTAAAATGGATTTGGAGATGGATCCACCTGATAGTGGTTTCGTAATCTATTCGGTTATTGCATAAAATTAAACACCAAAGAAACCCTTTCATAAAGCCGGTGTATTCGGTCATGAACACACGAAATCCGCGTAATTTACTACAAAAAACGTAAAAAGACGTCAAAATTGAGCGCAGCTGTCAACAAGATATAAAGCCCACCAATATCCTTCGCAGCAAGACAAAAAATATTTTGTGTAGCTAGAAATCGGAACAAAAAGATCTATAGCAGCTGATTAGGATAATCTAGTGAATACCTAGACCAAACTTGGTTGTATCGCATTCAAGAGGATATTATAGAAAGTTAAATAATATTCTCGGAAAAAAAAAAAAGGAAATCAAAATTTTGATTACCTTCTGGTACAACGCCATTTGAAATTTCGCTGATCAATTCATTTTCATCTTCGGACGAATTGCTCGACTTCCGCTCCATTCCTGTGGTTTTACCATTGTTGGATACCAATAGATCTTTCACATCAGTTCCATTCTGGGCTCCATGGCTATGTCCATGTCCTCCTCCTCCATGGCTATGCCCGTGTCCATGTTTATGGAAGAGAATCAAACCGACTACGTTTATCAACAAACCAGCGACTCCCACAATAAGAACGAGGATAGGGTTGTGGATCTCTTCTGTCTCGACTAATCGCTTCAGCGACTCGACAAGGATGGAAAAGCACAGTGCAATCAAGAACACAGCGTTCACCAAAGCTCCCAATACTTCAGCTCTTTGCCATCCAAATGTGTTTCTTTCAGTTCGTTGACTGCGCTTAGAGTACCGCAAGGCAAAAAATCCGATCAGCAGTGACAAAACGTCCGATAACATGTGAAACGAATCGGCTACAAGCGCCATTGAATTCGTCGCATACCCCACAATAATTTCAACCAGAAAGAACGAAGAGGTCATAAAAAGCATCGAAAAAACACTGCCAGTTTTGCCACAGAATCTCTTTTTAAGTTGAACCTTGCGAGAGTCAGCCATTTTTGTGGTTACCTACAAGAAAACTGAAGAGAACTGTAATGTCACTGCAAGTTAAAAAAAGCGAGGTCCTTCTAAAGGAGTGAACTGTTGGCAAATGTGATTTTCCTGTATTTATCAGCCCAAAAGGGCAAATAACCCAGGGGGTCAATAGCAGTAATGATGTATTTTGAAGAATTTTGCGTTGGTCACGCGGGCTGACAAAAATAGTGACACGCGCTGTTTGTCAGGAAAAGGAGTTAATAATAATTGTAAACAAAACAAAGAAAAACAACGAGACGGCTCCATTGTTCACCATTAAAAGTTGCAAATAATGAGAAAAAAATTGTATTAAATACCTGCATGGGATTTTTAAAAGTGATGTCCTCTCTTCGAGGAAACGAGAACTACAATAATAAGCAAAAATGTGGCGATATCGAAAGCAAAAATCGTCATCTGACGACTATCTGCGCCCGCGATCTTCGGAACCGACCTCATACCTCGGGTTCTGATACTTATGCCTTAATTGGTTAGTTTTGCTCGGAAGCTTCTCGGCTTATTTTCGACAATGTAAAGTTTATCAGCGGTAATAGAGTACATGTTCATCATATAATTTGTGGGGAGTTTTCCACAAATAAAATTTCAGCGCACGCTATGGTTCCTCGCGTGCTAGTTTCAATTCTGCTTCTTGTAAATATTTACAACGCTGTTTTTGGGTCCAATTTGCAAGGTGATTGCTCGAAAGATGGTTCTTGTGATGGAGATGAGGAAAAACGAAGCAAAGCTAAGTACACAATGAAAGGTATTGCTGAGCCGAAATCGATCGTCAAAAACTTTTGTTTGTTTATCATTTTGTGACTCGCTTGAACATGTGGTTTTATGCTTTGGTCAGTGAAGTTTAAAAAATAATTCTTATTTCAGAATATCGTAGAAATTAAAATTCCTGATCGCTCGGCAAATCGCAAAAGGAAATCTAACAAACCGCGAGGGGTTTCCATAGTCACATAATTTATCGTGTACATGTAGCAAATTGCGTGACTCAGTTAATTTCCCACGGTGACGTGTTAAATTTTAACTGGCTTGACTGTAGTGGAATCAATTGAATTATTAATGATTTAAATTTTTTTCCAGAAGGGAGGGTCTTTTGGATATGGTTTAAGATGATTTATTTTAAAAATACGCAGTGACTAAATGCTCGGCAGATGGGCACGGTCTCAAATAGACTACATGCCCGGCAGTCAAAGATTTTCACGCAATTTCCGCCGAAAGGTTCTTTCAAACTTCTCAAGAGTATCAAATGTCTGGTAAAGAATGTCAAGCGATTCCATAAACTTATTTGGTTTTTCAGTGGACAAATTCTCCGAGTTTGTGCATACTGTAATATCACTCGGTTGTCGAAAACTTGGAAATTCTACGCTTCTGATCAGACTGCCGAACACGGTCTCAAATGGACTTAATTGATTAGTTTTTGGAATCGCTTGACATTTCTTAACAAACATCTAATACTCTCAAGAAGTTTGAAAGTGCCTTTAGATTGAAGTTGCGTGAAAATTTTTGACTGCCGGGCATTTAGTCTATTTGAGACCGTGCCCGGCTGCCGGGCATTTAATCACAGCCTTTAAAATGTGGGTACTCATAACGGTACAAATTTGAAACTGTGTGCCTCTTTTATTGGTATACTTTGTGATAATTGAAACACAAAGACCAGGAATGGTAAGAAAAGAGAAAATTAAAATTTGGGAAGTCCAACCATTTGGACCATTAGATCAACATCCTTTAAGTTCTCAAAATTAAACCATGGTCCAATTTTAGTATTTCCCTTGTACTTTTCTCTTTTGTAATAATTCATGCTATAATGTTTTATTCACATGTGCGTCAAGCAAAATGTTAATAAATAAATAAATTAACAAAATGATGATACACACTAAAATTATTTTTATTTAAAGAATCATGGAAAAGATATCTCCAGGAAATACATCAAGCTACCGCTAAATACCAAGATTGCTCAAACAAAAAATGTGGTTGCTATAGTGATGTGATTGACAATGATTTAAGAATTTGGAAAGACAGAGGAGGAATCACAAAGAAAGACTTTGATAATTCAGCTGATCGTGGTGTACACTATCAGATTATTGATCATAAACTCTACAGAGAAGAAAAGTGTATGTTTACATTCAGGTGAGCTAAATTCTGTAACACTTTAACTCCTAATATCTTAATCCTAACTCTGTCTATCTTGCCTCTTGACATTTGCTTCTAACTTGGTAGAGAGAATTTGGCACTAGATCAATGGGAAATAATAGTCTCCTGCTGTGTCTGTTTACTATTCTCATTACCTGTCTGTGGGATAAAGCAAGTTGCAAACATCAAAGTTTCAAGTGGTCCTCAGCCCTGTTGAAAATCTTTGAAGGATCTTAGAGAATCCAACAAGATCTTCATGAGGACCTTTGAGGATCCTCTTGAGGATCTTCATGACAATGTTTAAAATTCTTGTTAAGATCTTCAAGGATCTTTCATTTTCTTGCCAAGATCTTTATGGATCTTTCATTTTCCTGTCAAGACCCTTGAAGATCTTGTTCAGATCTTCAAAGATCTTGACAAGAACTCTGAAGATCCTTTAAAGATCTTTGAAAATTCTTTGAGGATCTTCCAAAGTCTTGTTCAGATCTCACCAAGATCTTCAAGGATCTTTCACTTTCCTACCAAGATCCTGAACAATCTTGTTGTCAATCTTCAGAGATCTTGTTGAAAAATTTGAAGATCCTTAAAGATCTTGGCAAGAAGACTGAAGATCTTGGAAAGAAAATAAAAGGTCCTTGAGGATCTTGGCAAGAAAAAGAAAGATCCTTAAAGATTTTGAAAAGCAAATTAAAGATCTTGGCATGAATTTGAAGATACTTAAAGATCTTGGCATGATCCTTGCAGATCTTGGCAATAAAATTGAAGATTGTTGAAGATCTTGGCAAGAATGTTATAGATCCTTCAAAATTTTGGCAAGAAAATAAGCAGATACTTAATGAGAAGTTTATGGGGTGAAGCATGAACTTAACAACCATAGATGTTAACTATTGAAGAATGGATGTAGCTGACAGGTGACAATAGGTTTTAATGGCCAAAAGAAAATACCTCATAGTAAATTAAAAAAAAAAAACTGAACCAAATATTAAAAAAATGAAGATAATTTTTTTTTTATTGTTAAGTGAGAATTACTCATCCTCTTTTAGTAGGACTACTTATGCCAGAAGAAAAAATTTCTGATCAGATATGAGGGTTAGATTTTCATTTTCTGAAAAATATAGCTACAGAGAAGCTCAAAGATAAGAGGACCAAAATATATGCATTAAACTCATCTAGAACTAGTCTATGACCAGACTTAGACTAGTCTTAAGGCGGAGTAAACATAAAAAAACCACTTTTTTCAAACAAGAGTACCTCAGTTGCAAGGATGGGATGTGAGTTCATTGAACTTGCATCCCATCCTAGAGGAGTAGTACTGTTGAACCTCAATTTTACGCGCCAATTATCCGGATTTCTCAATTATCCGGCCTTTTTTTCTTGTCCCAATTTTGTCACGAATATTTATTAGAAAAGTGAACTAAAGGCAAGTTTGTTTCACTTTCAAGGAGCAAAAGCAGTGCTCACGCATGTTGTAACTAACAAAGAATTAAAATTCAAATGAGGTCTGATTGGCTTAGAGTTGCATTGTTGCTAAGTGAGATTTCACACTCCATTGGCTCATTTGGTGTGGTATGCAAGATAAACAAGCTCTACAGCATCACACATGTTTATTCATGATCAAGGAAAAGATCATGAAGTTTGCTAACAACATAGAGACCAGTGAAGGACTAAAGCATAATTGCTGAAAGTTGCACATAATGAACAGCTTCATAAAGCCCTGATTAATTTAATTAATTGTTAATACACACACGTAGAGGTAATCACAATGGACAGCGAAGGTGTGGGCCATTTTTTCTCAAAATGATACGTAAATGTTTTGTGTCATGATTAAATGTTACTTTCTTAATTTAATCAGTTTTTGTTCCTAGTTAATATTGATATTCTTAATTTTTCTGACCCTCAATTATCCGAACTGTTTTGTCAAGTCCCAGCAAGTCTGGATGATCAAGGTTTGACTATAATACTCCTGGTCACTTCATCATGCAACAGAAACCAGCATAAGCTTTGGCTGAATTGTCCTTTTGGCTCAAGTACAGACTTTTGTTATTGTCTAATCTTTGATGTAAATGCATGGCAGAGGTGAGGGGGAAAGGAAGAAGGCTAGAAGGGGGGGGACCACAACAAATAAAAATTGTTGCAATCACAGATCTTTTAACAAAGTTTTTTTGTGGAAACCAAAATTGAAAGTGGAGAAAAAGGAGCCCAAACCATTGAAATCATCTTCATTAAAGAACCATTTAATTGATTATATTTCTGACTATTTTAAGATGTAAAGGAGTTGAGCATTTTATCCTGGAGCTTATTGACAATTTACCAGACATGGAGATGAGAATTAATGTCAGGGACTATCCACAGGTAAGATCTGAATTAAAGTTACTCCTTCAAGCTGCCATATTTTTCTTTGAAAATTAATTTGGAGAATATTGTGTTTCATCCAGTTGTCTTTTGTTTGTGGGAAAATTTACTGAATCAATTTTGTGGGAAAAGTTTCAAGCTGGTCACTGCCAAAAAAAGGCTTGTTTATTTCAGCTGTTTTTAATATTGAAATTTTTTCATGAATGCAGCTCTGATTCTTTCAACTTTGAACTATTTTTTCATAAAATTATCTCCTAATTGTCACTTGATTAGGTCCCAAAGTGGTCCAGTCCTCTGCCTGTTTTCTCATTTAGTAAGGTAAGATAGAGTCTTCAAGCCACTTTAACAAATGATGCTGATTCCTTGTTTTCTCATTTACTGAAGAGTTGGAAGGAAAAAGCTCTTTTTAACAGATGTTTGCAATAAGCTTCATTATTACTTATTAAAAATACATCACCTGAAAAGATCTGTGATTGCAACAATTTTTATTTGTTGCAAAAAGTTATATAACTCTGGGTCAAGTTTACCATGTGATAATTAATTTTGGTGAAACAATGTTTTTGGGTAACACCCTTTGATGTGGGAAGAAGAAGATTATTACTCATTTTAGACCAAGTGAAAGGTGGTTTTGGATGGTTCAAGTTGAATTCTTTTGGTCTACAATTTAATCATTGGATGCTCTAATAAGAATAGAGAAAATTATCGTCAAAAAGGCTCTTCAATTGAGAAGGACAGAAACATGGATTAAAATTTAACAGTGGGTTAGTGCTAATCAGCCTTCATATAACTAGGCCTGTAGTATAGGGTGGAGGGGAAGGGTTCAGGAGTCATCAGCATTATTTTAGCACACATTATGGAATGTGGTCTTTATGTTATTTTTTTTAATCGTTATTTTTTTCAGACAAGCAATGAGAATGACATCATGTACCCAGCATGGACATTTTGGGAAGGGGGGCCAGCTGTGTGGCCAATTTACCCCACAGGACTGGGGAGATGGGATCTAATGAGAGATGAAATTGACAAGTTAGTTTACATTGTAGTTTATTTTTATTTTACTTCTGTCAGTACCTTTGTTTTTCATTTTTCGAACAATGGGACAAAATTTCCTTCAGAGCTTTTCTTTCTTCTTAACAGAGGGTAACCGTAAAGATATTCCAAGCCCCTTTGTATAGTCTAAACGTATACTTTATTCAGAAAACGAACAAACAATGACTCGCAAATGAACAAGCTGTGATTACCATGTGCTTACCGGTTCCTACACGTCATAAGACCGCAGACTCAGCGTGCAAGGAAAGTCGTGCCTGATAGCCCGGGGCTAGTGGATTTTGCGATGGGGCTAGTGGATTTTGCGATCGGGCCAATGAATTATGTGCATAATTTTTCCGAAGGGCAAATGAAGATTTTTTGGAGAATTAAAATTACAGAACAACTGTAAGCAATTCCTAATAAATTCATGCGGAACGAAAGTCGCTTCGACGAAGTGAAATCCCGTGCATGAGGTAAGGCGAGATCCCGTGCTTAAAGTGAAAGCAGATATCGAAATAAACTTTGGAGGTAAATGTTGCCGGTGACTGATTCTTACTAATTCAGAGAAAGCTATTTGTCTAAATTTTGCTTCATAATCATTTGTGAAGAACGTAAACAAAAGGTTTTGATCCTGAACTTCAGTGAGAAATGTATTATGGTTTTAGCAAATGTTGGTCACGTGCATTTCAATTTGGTAAATTCTAAACACTGATACCGTAGGTGCGTGTTAATTAAAATACATCGAACACATCGCATTGTCTTCACTTTTCACGAAGATCTTTCGGATATAAAGTTGCCAGAAATGAAACGAACATTTTTGTCCTTTTGAAACCTTAAACCTTTGGTTACTTGTAACGAGGTATACCACAAATTTGCATAATTTTTATTTGCATAATTTGTTCACTGATGGTGACTCGGCACGTACACTTTCCACTTGCCCGAAGGGCAAGCTGTAACACTGAACTTCTTTGCACCCTGTCGCAGACCTAATGTGTTTAAAGTAGCAAAAGTCGGTCTTGATCTCACTTTACTCATGAATTTAAAAAAATTCACGTGTCACGTGCACTTCAAACACTTTTTCACTCTTCATGAAAGTAGAAGGGAAAATTTCGAATCTCATCTTACCTTGGCTTTCTGTAAAATTCAACATCACCTGCTAAATTGGACTTAATCATGCATAATTTCCAAATCTTTCGCCACCTTCTGAACTTCCTTGTGGCTCTTAGTTCTTTCACCTTAGGTTTAATTTTTTTCAGTTGTGAAGTTCCTTGACACAGTTGCTGTACTTAATGTGATTGCCTACTTTCAGAAAAGCCACTGAGTGGCCTTGGGAGAAAAAACAGGCAAAGGCATTTTTTAGAGGATCAAGGTAAGTTCGTTGGTTGCGTTACCCTGTCCAACAAATTTAAGAGATAATGAAAGGAAGAAAGAATGAAAGGGAGAGAGTGGTTGATAAAGGGTGGGAAGATGGCTGGAGGGAGAGCAGAACTAGTGGATCAATGAATGAATGGATGGATGGATGGGAAATGGGAAAAGGAAAGAGGGAAAGTTTGTTATGGAGGAAATATTGGCAACCAGTTGGAAGTAGGGGGGATGTGGAGGAGGGACAGGTTAGCCAAAGAGTAGGCAGAGGGATGAAGGGAGATGAAGACAGAGTGCCATGGGTGAAAAAATTGATATCTAGATGGAAGTAAGGGGGGAGCGATGGAGGTGATTGTACTTGAAAGTACAACAATCAGATGGTGCTCTGGAATCATTCTTTACCTACGATAATTTTAAAGAGTCTCAAATACATGTGCTTTTTATTATTATCCAACTGCACGAAGTAGAGTGCAAATGACGTGCGAACAGAGTACATATATCCTGCGATATTGTACGGTTATCTGGACAGTTGGTTATTTTGTACTGTAGAAAAGAACCTGTTTAACCAGTCCGCTGCGCGCACTTCGCTTCTCTTTCCTCTTTGTTTTTCCTGCTTTATGAGAAACGAACAGAAAGACTTGGAAGGAAAAGAGGCCCTGCGGGCTCGTCAATGTACGGCACAACTCATAAAATACTCAGCGATACTACACACCAAAACGTCTAATAGGATATACATATTATTTCTCTTTATTCTAGGACTTCTGCCGAGAGGGATCCTTTAGTACTTTTGTCTCGTGAGGACCCAAGTCTTGTGGATGCACAGTACACCAAGAATCAGGCCTGGAAGTCTGATGCTGTAAGTTAAAAGCATGATAGATAAGCAATTTCTGACCCTGAGTTCAGAAAATGTTCCTTATATGTGAAATATTCTTAGCCAAACTATTTTTTTTTAGAAGCCTCTTTTCTTTTCTCAGGACACATTACATGCTCCACCCGCCAAAGAGATCAAGCTCGAGGACCACTGTGAATACAAGTATTGACGTATTACTCTTGAAGATAATCCTATGTAGAATAGCCACAATACTACACACACTCTGATTGGTCAGAATTGATCGTTTATTGAACCGAAGAAGCCATTCCTATTTCATGAAGCAGGCCGCACTTTCTATCGGTTTACCAGTGTAGTTTCCCACTTGGAATGTTGGTAGAACAATCGAAAAGTGTGCGAATCACAAGGCGATGGCGAATGATTTAGAAAATTTTTACGTATTCTTCCAACGTTTCGCGTGAGTTATATATAGATATGCAAGGAACTGCAGTTTCTATCGGTTTACCTGTGTAACAACCCACTTAAATTGAGATGTTGGGAGAACGCTCGAAAAGTTTTTTTTAATCACGAACCGAGGCGCGTTCTGTACAAACTTTACCTCTAACATCCTAAGGTGGTTATTTTGCTAATAAACAGATCGAAAGTGCGCCGGGTCTATTGCTTTTATAAAATAAACATAAACTTTCTTGGGGTGTACCAATGCAATAAACAATAGATTTTGACCAATCACGCCGCTCGTAGTATCTAATTTACTTTACTATAATACACTGGTTAACTATCAGAAAGTATTGTTGATAATTCTTTCCCCCAGCTTTACAGACTCCACTCTGGAGAATCTTTCTCCGAGATATTAGCCTCTGTAGTTCCCCCGTAGAAAGCCTCGGTACGAACTCTTTTATGACACGAGTGGGGGCCAATAGCTCCGTGTTCTTTTACCCTGATGCTTATTACAGATTTCTTGTCCCGGAATGTGGCTTTAAATTTCAAAGACAAGCCTGAGCTTTGTAACTGACGCGTTGCAAATCCAATAGCTCTATGATAAGTTGCTTCCTTCTCCTGGTCGCCCATTGTTTAGTACACAGAGCTATTGATCGAGAGGTCCTGGAGCGAGCTCAAACAGCTAAAACTAATGTGCAAGCTAACCATACTTTTCGTTCTCTTGTGTTGCAGATACTTGTTCAACTTTCGTGGAGTAGCAGCCAGTTTTAGATATAAGCATCTTTTTCTTTGTAAGTCTTTAGTTTTTCACGTAGGAGACGCATGGCTTGAATTCTTCTACCGAGCGCTGAAGCCCTGGGTACACTACATACCAGTTCAAACAGATCTTAACAATGCCAGGTGAGTTTTGGTCTCATCTTTTCTACCACTTTCCAGGACTTAGTTTAGTTTCTGACTTCTGCTCGTGCGCATAGCTTTCCGGCGCGGTGCGCCCGAGTTTGCACTACTAATTGTAAACCATAACTTTAGAAGCCCTATATGCATACCCCTCAACCAAATTCATCAAGATTAAAAATTTATTTCGTCTGAAATGTTGTCTCCGTTTTTTACGAAATAAGGGGTTTTTGTCACAATTGGGTTTTTTTTTAATGAGGTACAGATCACTCGTTACAGTAAGAAAAGGCTATTCCTATCTTAGAAAATGGTTTTATCAACCGAATTGATATATAAGTTGGCCGCGGTAAAGAGTGTCTGCCTTATCCTAAGCGAGGAACTGTTGTCCACTGCAAGAGAAACGCAGGCCATCTTTCATTACGAAACATTTCACACGAAGTAATCGCATATCATCAATTTTCTAACTTTTCACTCGGATACTAATCACCGTCAAGGAGCTCAAAGAAAGCTTGATATTTTGTCATCTTTTTGTTCTAAGGGATCTCATAGAATTCGCCAAGGAAAATGATGAAGTTGCGAAAGGAATGGCTGAAAGGTGATTTTATCGTAGTAGCAATGTTTTTGGTTTTTACATATTACGTAAGGTATGCAAGAATTGTTAGTATTCCGGTCTTTATGCTCTCTTCCACTAAGTTTATCCTTTTGATCTGAAGCTTTGCTGAACAAGTGAGGACATTTACCGTGATAGAGCAATTTTCAACTGAGTGTTGAATGTAATCCGGGATTGCATTGGTTTTGCTTTACTTGTTCTGTGATTGGTCCAGAAAAACTCGAACCACTATCTCAACCAATCAGATGCAAAACTAAAACCAATCCCAACTTGGTCCCCCGCGTTTTCCCGCGCTTTAGAGTTGATTCTCATCGGTTTCTAAAGGTCTCTTTCTTCTTTCCGATTGGCCATTGAGATTGCTGTGGTTTAGTTTTACGACACTCAATCGAAAAGTGCTCTGAATCACATGAAAGTGTCTCGATTTCACTGTTGTTTTGTTGTCAGTTTCCGAGTCTCAGGGGGTTCTTTTCTTTCTCAGGGGATATCAATTTATAAAAGATCATTTACGAATGAAAGATGTGAAGTGTTACTGGAAAAAGTTGTTGAAGAACTACGCCAAACTGATGCAGTGGAAACCTGAAAGAAACTCTAGATTTCAACGAATAACACCATAGGAACAATAACGAATTTAAATAACAATCTTAGGATGTAACCTTGTCTTGAAACTCCGAAAACTGCGAACGCCAGAATTATGCATGGAAGTTTTGTGTTTCAAGGAAACCTCTTCTAGCTCGAGATTTAAATACTTTTCCAGTGTTCTCTCGATATTTAAAGTGTCTTAGTTATTTTATACACCCGTTTGCAAGTGATTGCTGAACTTTATTGTGATTGGTCAAAAAAACAATTGACGAGTTAATATATTTGTGCACGGTTTACTGAGTTTCACAATAAAAGCACATTTTAGTAACTGACGTAAAAAACTGTTAGTTCCGGATTTTATTTTTTGTTAATGTTGATTTAAGTATTTGTTGAACGCAGATTGGTAACGTCTAAGGTAACTTACCGACGAGCACTCTGATATAAGGGACCTGACGACAGCAACAAGGACGTGGCAAAACAAAATATCTAATGGGCAGAAAAATAGCTCAGCACGTGCGTTTTGTACATTTCTTAACCGTACTCTGCCAAACGACGACGTGAAATCGCCAAAATTTGTGTAGTCCGAGAACAGAATCCCTGACTGTAGATTTTAAACGTTTCGATTTGGAACTCAACGTTGCTAGCATACGTATTACTAAAGCTGAGATGTGGCGCCGTAAGAGACGGTAAACAAATGGATAAGAGTCTCAATGAGGTGATGGCTTTTTACGGCTAACGGTCAAAATTTTGGCCATTTTGCGGCTAATGGTTATTATCATTCCATTGTTGTCACCACAAATATTTATACGGTTAACTTTTTTGTGACTAACGGTCAAAGTTTTGGCCGTTTTACGGCTAACGATCAACGTCATTTAGACTCTCTAATAGTATTACTTAACGAGGGAACCCAACTCGCTTGGGCAGTTTTCAGCGGGACCCTCAAGGTATTTGGCGCAATTCACATTTCTAATCGGTGACCACGACATTTCCCAAGCTTTATTTCACTTGAGAGCGAAATTGACATGAGATAGCCTTTAAGTATTTCATTTTCAAGAAGCGTAATTATTATTTTACTGCAAACACCCAAACAATTATCTCAAAACTTGCCACGAAGAGTGCAAAACAAGTTTCATACATACTGCTAAAAAGGTCCATGGCTTATGACCAAGGTTCGAGACCATATCCTCAATTCCGGTCAAAATTCAGGAGCAGAGAAGATTTCAATATTTATATCAACAACGGCAAAAGATGTATAAAAGTATGGTCTAAATCGCTTTCTTCGTAAATTTTATTGAAGTTGAACTGTTTCTTGGTGAGGCAAAGTATGTGTGTGAAACTTATTAGATATTTGCACCATGTGATTTTATGAGAATATCGTGACACTAATATATAACCCCCTTATGTTAGTCTAAAATATTCACACAATACTCTCGTCGCGTGGCAAAGATTAATAGACACAAGTAACCTGCCATTTTTCCCTTATTCTATTTACAGCTGTATTGGTTGCCCGATCATCGGGCAACCGCATTTAGACGGATCTATTTTGGCCAGTTGCGTGCAAACAGAAGCGTGCTTGTAGCCTGTTAGGACTAAGTTGTCTCACACGAGATACAAAAAAAATCACACGCCAGTGAATCGTGGTGTTTTAGAAGCGTACATATCTATTTAGCAAAACCCAAAACAGAATGGTAAATCAAAAGAATACCCAGATGTGTTGTTGGCTATGTCTAACGTTAATGGAGGGCTAAAAAAGGCTTTTAATTTTAAACAGGTTTCCTATAGTCACGGAAATTTTAATAAAGAAAAATTTGCTACCGATAAGATGCAGATGATTTCACAGTGTTTTTAAAACGTGTAATATTCAGTTGGTAAAGCTAAATCTGGTATCGCGTTGCTCGCGCAGCAGCTCCTGAAACAACCGATCCACTTCGATTGTCCTGCATATTTATCAATGTTTACATAAAACAGGGCCCTTCGGTATGATGAGAACGAAAAACTTCCAGTTTGCGAAAAAACTTCTTTTTTCCGCACGGTGCAGCACACATTTGAGAGAGTTGAGTTGAAAGAGATGCGTCTCTTTAGTCAGATAACTTCTGAGTTTGTGAACTAAGAAGACTGAGAAACCAAACTTACCCTTCACCGAGAGGGTGGTGCAAAACAGTAAATGTTTCGAGATTTCACCATATTACTCGTGGGTCTTCCTCGTTATTGTAAATCGAACTAGGATGTAGTCTCCTTCGCAGTTGCAGCTTGCAAAACAGACTTCATTTTCTCCTTTTTTAGTTCTGTTTTTTCGTTTGCTTTTGCGTTTTCAGGAGAAACATGAGTTCAATTTGTCAACACATTTCAGTGATGAATGACGATTTTATTGTTTCCTTTTTTATATAGATTAGGTGTAAAGCTTGTTTAGAGCCATCGAAAGAAGATTAAAAAGCATCCATCCTGGACAATCTTTCAAAGCAAAATAAATCTTATAGATCCTAGTTTAAACTCAATTAGCGATTGCGTGCGCATTCCAATGAGGTAATGATTATTTTAAACAACACTCAAATTCATGTCAATGGCGCTAGAGAGCGCCTCATATACGCATTTTGCGCTCACCCTTCGTGAAAAAGAATAATTTGGAAGGAAGCATCCCGAAAGGTTGAGTTTTATTTATAGTGATAAAAAAAAAACGAAAAACGAAATTAAGAACCACTCAAAAACAGGATGAAATTTACTTAACATTTAAACCGTTGGCGTGGCAAGTATGATCAGTTGCAAATGTAGCTTACGGGCATCGAGTTGGAGAAAGTCACCAATCTCCATCAAAAGCAGTAGGTTGGAATTCAAAAGAGTCTATCTTGATATTTCACGTTCTCAAAACGGTGAGAAAAATCAATCCCTCCAAGCGTTAATGGCGGATCGATTGTTTACATTCAGTAGGGAACCAAATATTTATCTCACGGTGACAATGTCGCTCAGAGATATTTGCTTCTGGCCAAAATTAACAGATACTTCCATAATGTTAGGAAAACGTCTGGAATTGCTTTTATTCTGACGAAATGAGTATTAGACCTTTATTTCTGACCAGTAAGCTGATTTAGAAGCTGGTCCCAGATATAGCTTAGTCATCACAGATTGATAACTTTTCTCCTTTGACCTTTAAATTTCCCCCATTTTATATTAATGGGATCAACTCGTCCACGAACAAACATTGTTCGAAGTAAATGGATCGGGGTAGCATTGGAGATATCAGGCTAACAAGTTAAGGTAAATTTTTGACTCCTCAAGACGGCAAAACGTCCTTCGAGCGTTTAGATAACTTGTCATCAAAATATGTCATTTCCCTCATTTTTTCCAATAAATGTAAGAAAAAGGGTAGATCTTTTTATTCATTTAAATAGATGTTAAAAATCTTTGTGACAGGACTTGAGTTGAAGTCATAAGAACACTTTCGATACCCCATGTTGAAGGGCAAGTATGGGCAGACTAGGCCGGCTTTATATATATTTTGCCAAGCAAAAAACAATTGCAACTTTTTAATACCCACTTCGTGGTTAGGACCCTAAAATCATCCTTCATGCCAAATTTAAGCCAAATCGGTAAGGTTAACTAGCCGCGTTTTTTTGAAAAAGTTCGAAAGCTACATACTATTGCTCTTATTAAATATCACCACGGCGTTCTACTTCTATTTATCGACTTATGATTGATAATCAACAAATTGATTCTCTTTATATTCGAATAACATGATTACAGAAAGTTTCTCCCACTTTCTTTATTATTTCGAATAGACCTCATGGAATCGTTATGGAGTGAAGACAATTACAGTAAACACCCGCATATAAGAACACATGGATTAAGAACACCAGGCTGAAATTTGGCAAATAAAAGATTTTTATAAGAACAAAATCAGCCTGGAAAATCGTTCTTATAAAATGGATAAGACCAAAAAATTCTGATCATAAGAACCAGATAATACACTCAACATGTTTACCACTCAAATTCAAGTAAAACAATGACTCTTTGGTTGCACTTGTTCTTGTATTTTTGTTCCCTTTGTAATTTACGGCTAAACTCGACACTTCTGTACCGTGCTCAGTTTCCAGTTATAATTTGACTCAGTGTTTTTTTCCTGTAATTTTTAAGAAGTTTCTTCAGATATCGTGCATTCCCAACCAGTCGATAGTCTACAGGAAGTTCTAGGCCATTTCCTCGGCCTTTGTTGAACCTGTTCCCAATACATTCCGCTTCTATTTTCCCATATTCTGATAAAACTTGTTGAAGATTTTCGAAAGCTCAGCTGGCACATGACCAACAATACTGTCGTCTTCATTTTTTACCACAACTGCATATTTACTGTGCTGATTATCGGGCTCCAGTTCACAGAAAAGGATTTCCCCAATGTAAACTGTGGCGTCCTTGAAGTAAGCATGATAGCCCCTTGTACTAGCCTCTAAGTAAAGTTCATATTCATTTGCCATCTCCTGAAAAGAAACAATTTTCATCAACGTCTTTCAAAAGTGATTCCAAGAATTCAAGATGGCTGACAGCTCGACCAGAGCTTGAATTGCCTTTCGGGTAAATTACCCAAAGAGACCGCTGGACGATTGTGTTCCTCGTGTTCCCCAAACTGCATCGCGTTGGAATTTTTATTAGAGCTGAACGAAGATGAATCGAACTTTGTTTGATTGTGGCGTTCGAAAATCAGTTGAATTGAAGAATGGTTCTTTGCTTGATATCACATCAACTATGAAGAAGACCGCTATGCTGACCAAAAGCTATGATGTTCAATGTAGCTGCTGTGGTAAAGCGTTCAATGGTCAACAATATCTTGACAGTCACATGAAATTTAAAC